GCTTGCCTCTAGATCCATACGCCTGTGGGTGTCAAAACTGCCTGGTAACTAAGGAACTAGCAGTAGGAGTACTTGAACCCTTTACCACTTTCCCGCAACCCTGTAGCACAAGTACAGCTACAGGGTGGCATTGATGTGCAAAATCACGTTTATGTACGTGATTTGCATTTCCGGTTAGGGGGTGCGCGTGCCGCCCTACCTGTGCAGCTATTGGTGGCTAAGGATATCAATGGGTCCTGGCCTGCATTCACCGATCGTCGGATAAAGTGGTCAGGGAAGATACCTGTGCGTAAACAATACAGGTCTCTCTCCTGTCAGCATGGATATGCTGTTTTGTATCTCTCTGCATGTCTCCCTAGTAAAAAACAGCACACAGTAAAATGCACACAGCACACAGTTAACCATTTGATTGTCCCAAATGTTAACTCCTTCCTGCCCAGTGTCATTAGTACAGGGTCAGTTCTTTTTATTAGTGTCACTGGGGATGTCAGGTGCAGTTAGTTCCCACCCAGTGTCAGAATGCCAACTGCAGCCCCGCAATAAGTCGCTGATCTCTGCCATTACTAGTATAAAATAAAAAATTCCAGAATAACACGTATTGGGACTTAATTTTTTTTTTAGCAAAGACATGCACCAGAATACATTTTGGCCTACATTTATGGAGAAATTTGATTTTTGTTTTTACATTTTTTATTGGATAGGTTTCATAGAAAATTTTTTTTGTTTATAGCGCAAACAATAAAAACCGCAGAAGTGATCAAATACCACAGAAAGAACGCTCCTTATTTGTGGGCGAAAAAAAAATGACAAATTTAATTTATGTACAGCGTTGCGTGACCACACAATTGTCAGTTAAAGTAACGCAGCGCAGCGCCGTAGCACAAAAAAAATGTCCTGGTCAGGAAGGGGGGGTAAATCCTCTGGAGAGCAAGTGTTAAAGGTGGACGCTTACTTCTCCTTTTAACTGGTAGGATAGAACTCTTTCGCTCGCCCTCCAAAATTTTCTGGATGTATTTATCTAAATTATTGGCAAACAGGTGCTCGCCATGAAAAGGGAATCCAACCAGCAATTTTTTGCACGGCAATTCCACAGACAATCTTTTCAATCATAATATTCCACGCATGTGTACTGAGAGGAGAACCAATCATGAAACTTACTGTATTGAACCAATAAGGGCATCCACAGTAAAGCACAAGGCATGGGGCAGATTGGCCACCTCCTCCTCCTCAGCAGAATTCTCTCCGTGACCAGGAAGATTCTCAACCAACCGTTCAACATGGTCCTTCAGAGATTGGCAAACACCAATTGTACAGCAGGCCCAGCAGGACCAATAGAAGCCTTTAGTAATGATTCCAACTTCTTATCAGCCGGGACCTTAAACACTTGGGCATTGTCCAATGGACAAGTTAAATTTTTATTCAAGGAAGACACAGCTACGTCAACCGCCGGCACGCTCCCTTTATTAAAATTTCCTCCATGGGATACAGCAAAGAAAACCTCTTGGGAGGAACAAATACTCTATTTGGGTGACCCCATTCAGCATATACCACCTACTTCAACAGCGTGTGTAATGGAAAGACTTGAGCTTATTGTTGAGGCCGCATCGAACCCAAAGAGGAGTAGGAGGCCTCAGAAGCTTGTGGAGGCAATTTGAATCCAGAGTGGATTATTTCCATAAGAGATTGGACAACAATTTCTGATATTTAGATGCCAACGTGTGTGACTGGGGCTTGTGACAATAACCATTAACCCACCAGTACAGCACCCCACCATACAAGACTGTAGTCATCATTTAGCAGCTATCACAGCCCAGAGAGCAAAAAGATGCAGCACTAAAGCAGAAGCCAGTCCAGACTGCCACCTGTGACCATACACCCATCAAGGACTTACGTGCCCAAAAGATGGCCTGCTCGGTGTCCATTTGAGCAGCCCCACATGTAAGACACTATCCACATAAGATGACCACTCGCAGCTTCCGCTCACAAATGCGCATGCGCAGCGTGCCACGTGCATGCCTGCTGTGCGCGTCTATAAAGAAAACAGTTAATGTGCATGTGCAGCGTGCCACGTGCACACCCGCCGCGAGAGTCTGCGAAAAAGGCGTTACTGCACTTGCACGCCCGCCCCTGGAAAAGCCACATGCGAGCTCTTGTGTTCCAGTGAGCGGGCCTGGACTCTTGCAGCCTTTAGCTGGAAACCATGAGAAATGGTTACCTTCAACAGGAGTTCCCCAAACATACACAGAAATAGATACAGTGCTCCTGATGCTCTCTAGTGGCAAAAAATTTAAATATTGTGAATACCTGGCCCTTCCAAGCTGTCGCTGCTGTGGCTGCATAGGAAGTATTGGTGCTTTTCATAACATCATAAAAAGGCTCCCAAGTGTAGCCAAATCCTCTGTTCGTCCTATGGTAATGATGGTTTTAAAGAATACATTACTCTTTCCTTCGATTATTGCTTTACTCTTTTTTTTCCCCCAAAGAGAAGAGAGCAAATTTACCAATCCTAATCTCTGCTAATAAACAGAAACCCAAACCTTCACCCATCACGGTGGGTCTTGATACTTAATGACCTTCCAGGACTGGGTCCCCTTATGCTTTTTGGGGTCCACTCTCTTGGACCTGTATAGCACCTTGCTGGAAAAACGCCTTGGTCATTTAGCAAAAATGCACAGGGAACCGTAAGGCAGGGTCTAGTGCCAAAAAAGTTACATTACGGGCAAAACCTCATTGAGTCCTCCTCCTTCCATACGAGGTGAGGGTACCATTCATTTTAGTGTATAGCCATCCAATGGATCCGAATAACCAGTCCCTTGATCCCTAGGACAACCATTTTTGAGATCAAACAACGTTGCCATGGGGAACTGAACTTCAGTGTCTATCACCTTTCAGACACTGGCAAAAAAACTGAGGTACTTCCTCTGTAGGAGGGGTTATATAGGGCAGGGACTTCCTGTCTGTTTTAGTCTGCCAGCGTCCATTCATCTATAGGTGACACATAACCCATATAGCAATGATTATAGCCTGCTCTGTGTCCCGTGATGTACAACAAAGAAAGGTATCTTTATGTTTTTTATGTTTGTTATCAAATTCATGCTAAAGCTCATAAAAGGAATCTAGAACAAGGGAACACAAAAGGTCCAGTGTTGTCTACCAGACCCAAACCATCCATGGGAATTTTGTAAACTCACTGCAATATAAAGCATATACGTTTTTTTATAAATATCAAAGATTTGCTGCATATTTGTTAAGCCAACATATGAGCAAGACAGTCCAGTATTTTAATAAGCACAGCAAAGGCAAACCAGGTGTACACTGTCATTTTTAAAATGTGAGGAATTTAGGAATACGCATTTCTATGCATAATGCACAAAATAAGAAAGTAGTTAAAACCTGCAGGTCCAGGTAGGCAAGTGAAAGTCCAGGAAGTTTAAGCATTGTATAGTTAATTTATAATCGCTAACTTAACCACTTGCCTACCAGGCACTTATACCTCCTTATTTACCAGGCCAATTTTCAGCTTTCAGCGCTGCCGAACTTTGATTGACAATTGCGCGCGGTCATGCAACATTGTACCCATATGAAATTTTGATCATTTTTTTCTCACAAATAGAGCTTTCTTTAGGTGGTATTTAATCACCACTGGGCACTTTACTTTTTGCGCTATAAATAAAAAAAAGTGCAAAAAATTTGGAAAAAAAAAAAGTTTCTTTGTTTCTATTATAAAATTTTTCAAACAGGTATTTTTTCTCCTTCACTGATGTGCGTTGATGGGGCGGCACTGATAGGCAGCACTAAAGGGCACTGATAGGCAGCACTAATGAGGTGTCACGGATAGGCGGCACTAATATGCAGCACTAATATGCAGCACTGATAGGCGGCACTGATAGGTGACACTGATGATGGGTACTGATAGACGGCACTGACTGGCATCACTGCTGGGCACTGACTGGCGGCACTGACTGACACAACCCCTGGGCACTGACTGATGGCACTGACTTGGCAGCACTGCTGGGCTGCACTGGTGGGCGGCACTGGTGGGTGGCACAGGTAGGTGGCACTTCTGGGCACAGGTGTGTGACACTGCAGAGTGGCACAGGTGGGTAAACTGCTGGGCACAGGTGGGTGCACTGCTAGGCACAGGTGGCTAGTGGGGAGCTAGTGGGCGCACTGCTGGGCATAGGTGGGCGGAACTTGCGGGTGGCACTGCTGGGCCACCGATCATCAGGGCACTGATCATCAGTGCCCTGATGATCGGTGCCGATCCCCGCTCTGACAACTGCCGGTTCTCGGCAGTACTTTCCTCACGATCTGACAGCGTGAGGAAAGTGCAGCCGAGAACCAGCACTTGCATTTCCCTCTGATCAGCGTGTCATTGGACACCGCTGATCACCTGGTAAAAGGCCGCTGTGATTGGCCTTTTACCACATCACGTGATCAGCTGTGTCCGTAGGACACAGCGATCACGGAGATCGCCGGGTGCGTGCCCCCTGGGGCGCGCAGGAGAGCGCGTTCTGGGAGGACGTCATATGACGTCCACTCAGAACTGGCCGGCCGCAGTGCAGCCGTCATTCGGCTATCTGCGGTCGGCAACTAGTTAAAGCAAACATTGAGAGAAAAAAAAATTATGGAGACAGTGCCATGGTAGTTGGTAGTTGCTGGCAGTCATGTTCACCTGAACCCCAAACAAGCAGGAAAATCAGAAAACACATTAAAACGTCAAAAAGTCCCTATCTGTATAATTCTTCTTTCAGTAATTCAAAGTATTATAGAAAGCAGTTCTGCATAAAAACCAGGCAACTGGCATTTACAAAGAGAGGTCAGCAATAGCAGCCTTCATATTTCTTTCATGACAGGATTCCTTGAAGGTTGCTCCCCTTCCCTCTTTTAATGCTTTACTTCAGTTTACTCATTTATATAGCACGGAGACCTTCAGAAACACCAAACCATTCACATGCAGCCAGACCTTCGGAATATAAAACAACAAACACCAAAAGTACCTCGTCACCCATCTGTGGAACAAAAGGACATCTCCTCGGAACAGTGTCAGTAATCCACGCAGATGGAAGCCACTCTTCAAGGTTCAAGCCTTGCTCTGTAAGGGCTGCAACTGCTAAACGCTGTAGAGAGAAATTTCAAATAATTTAGCTCATATTTAAAAAGATAATTCTTTTTCTCAAAATACAGATGCTGATGCAAGAGACACCATATAATTCATTTGTAAAACTAGTCCGTGTGTTTCATATCACAGTACAGCAATTGCTCATAAAAAAAAAAAAAAAAAAAAACTGCATCCAAGACATATCAGGCTGTCACGTATGGCCAACTTTGCAATTCTGCTAAAGTACACAGCTGTAATGCACAGGGGTGCATTCTTAGGAGTACAGAGCAAGGTGAATGATATCATTGCCCTTTTGTGAGATTTTCATGCATCAACAGCACAGCAAATAATTGTGTGTAACATGAATTGTTGAACAGCAGACACCAGATGTAAGATTGAGTGTTCTACATACAGTAAAAGAGAAGCATGTTGCTGTAGCAAAGGTAATATAGACATGGGTTGTAAAAGCAGACAGACAGTATTTGTTTTGGCAGCTTACACTATAGATTGGTCACCGGGAAAGACATAAGCAGTGATTTATTACACTGCAGCAGAAACATACTACCTCACCTTCTGCTTCCTCTCTTTTGGCTTCTTTTTCTTTGGTGATGTAGATGGCCCATCCTTTTCTTCAGTACCCTTCTTTCTTTCCTTTTTACTCTGCTTCTGTTTAGACTTTTCAGCCCCTTCTTCATCTTCAGAGCTGCTCTCTGCTTTTTTGTTTTTAAGTTTAGGTGTTTTCTTTGGTGGTTGCAGATTGATTCCAGCATCGGCAGTCCAGTCTGAGTAATCACTTGAGTAGTCACTAAGAATATATATAACAATCTTTCAACATATGGCAAGGTCATGATAACTGGAATATTTTTAGAATTATAAAGTTGCTACACAATATGACCATGTTGCAGTAAATGGACAGTTGTCCAAAACACACAATAATTAAACAATCTGAATTCTTAACCACTGAAAACACAATTAAGTCAGATTTAGTAGAAAGACATTATACAAACACCCATTTTCATAGTGGTCCCTTCATTTTTATTTCATAGCAGCTGAGTCGAGTGTTTAAAGTGGTTAACACCTACATATGAAGTGACTGGCCTCAGGTGATATACAGAGATGAAACAAATCCTCCTGCATAAGTTGTACCTGTTTACCTGAAGTATTCTCTTCTCTACATCCATTCAAAGTCAAGAATTTATAAAGCTTGTCTGAGCTGTAGGAAAGTAGGGGGTGGAGAGCTGAAGTTACACACTGCAGAGCTCAGTGAGGAGAGCTGATTGGAGGAAAGGGAAACCCCAACTTCACACAGCACACAGGAAGAGCTTAGTCTGTGTGTGTTGGTGCTCCCTTCCATCACCTTTTTCTCTTGGTGTCAGGAAAACTTGTCAGAAGCGATTTATGCAGAGGAACAAAGCAGCAGACAGAAATGACACTTTGTGCTCTAGGGCGAGACAAGTACACAATGTAGAGCAGGGGTAGGCAACCTTTCATAGGTTGAAATCTACCTGGGCAACATGGAGAAAATAAAGGATCTGAGAGGGTGGGGGGGGGGGGGGGGGGTCACAGTGATTGGTCACAATGATCATACAATGTAAATAGTGTGTTTATATCTGTGAGCTCTCTCCTTCCTAAAATGAAAGAAGGGGAGAAAGCAGGAGCTGATGAATGAACAACTCTTTTGTTCTAGATCATGGCTGCAGCAGTGAGATTTGTTTTTAACCCTTTCACCTCCCCTCTCCTCCAATTAAGCTAATCTTGTGTGTCTGTTGTGACCTGTATATTCACCTCTTCACCTCCCTTATCTTGCACATATGAACATTATCTCCTCTTTCCCATTGTATGTGACCTGTAGTTTAACCCTTTGGTTGGCAAAAATGAGATCACCTTGTGGTTTCCACATTCCAGAAAGGGGTCGTTTTGGGGGTTATTTGCACTGTTCTAGCATTTATACTTTTTTATCACTTCTAGTGAAAAAAAGCAGTATTACCCCCCAAAAGAAAGAGGTTACATTAAAATCGGGTACAAGGTTGTATGTCAGAGTAATAGTCAGTAAGCTATTACAGCAAACATAAAAACATGCCCTTGTAATGCAGGGGTTTAACAGGCTAGTACTGAAGTGGTTAAAGGTCTGTATCAATGGGATTTTGCGCTCAGACAGGTTTAGCATTACCATACAAGTCTATGAGAATGCAAACCCTGCTTGAAATAGCTTAAATGCAGGTCGGGAGGTCAACTGTAAATTAATTCTGAATGCCCTCAGAAGCAATGCCAAGTTCCTGCAGAATCTTCTTCCAGCTATATGAGAATATTGAGGTACAGACTTGAGAGCTGGAGGAAATGTCAATGGACTGAGTACAGTGATCACTGTACCTGTGTTCCTCATTGAGAACTACAACTCTATTTGCAAAGCTGTATCATTCAATCACAGAGATCTGTCAATAAATAATGCAGTTGTGCAGATGAAGCCTCATACAGCCGTGCTGAATAAAAAAATCGAAAGCTGCTGTGGACAAAACGATCCTCTACATGCTGATTGCCGAGCATCTCCGACGGGGAGGAGAACTGTATGTAAACAATACAGTTCTCCTCCCTGTCAGCTCGTACACACACCCCCTTCCTGACCAGGCCATTTTTTTGCAATACGGCGCTGCGTTATTTTAACTGACAATTGCACGATAATGCAACGCTGCACCCAAATTAAATTTATGTCTTTTTTTTCCCCCCCCACAAACAGAGCTTTCTTTCGGTGATATTTGATCACCTCTGCGACTGACAATTTTGGAAAAAAAAATATTTTTGCTATAAAACATATCCAGTAAAAAAATTTTAAAAACAAATTTCATCATAAATTTAGGCCAAAATGTATTTTGCTACATGTCTTTGCAAAAAAAAAAATCCCAATACATGTAAACTAATTGGTTTACGCGAAGTTACAGCGTCTACAAATGGCGGTATATATACTGGAATTTTTTTTTTTTTTTTTTTTTTAATACTAGTAATGGTGGCGATCAGCAACTTTAGCTGGACTGCGGTGAGCATTCTGAAACGGGGGGGGGACTGCCACTGACATCCCCAGTGACACTAATACAGTGATCAGTGCTAATCAAAAGCACCGACACTATACTCTGCTATGCAGAGCAATACAAAGAAGTATGTCGGTGCTGACAGGGGAGAAATGTGTGTTTTTACATACAGACCTCTCCCCTGTCACTGTCCCTCAGCGATGAATCTCCGGTCGGGACCCGGTGATCAACAGCTGTAGCCCGCCCCTTACCTTGAAATACAAAATCACGTATATATACATGTGATTTTGCGCAGCTCTGCCGCCTGTAGCAGTAGTTCTGATATAAGGTGGCGGGGAACCAATTAAACTACAGCATATACAATATTTTTTTTAAATGCACTGAAGACTAATGTGGCAAAGTACCCCAATTTAAATCAAACTTCATAAATATTCAGCAGATTACTGTATCTAGGCTGTTGGCATACATTAAACCACAACCACAGACAAAATTCCCTTTGTGGGTAAGAGTAGGAATGTGTGTCAATTGTTTATTGTTGTATGTATTCTCATTGGTGGGATTCACCCTCATCTTCTGTTCTGGTGAAAACAGAAGAACTTAGGAGACTGCAAGTGATAGTAAATATAAAAGAATCAGAAAGCAATAAACCCCTAACCAGTGTCCACTCAAATAAAATGTGCTTTTGTTGCTATCCATACCAGAGAGAGATGTCTCATCACTTCCTGCCCTTGTGACACTCTGCAATCAGAACAGGAAGTGAGGAGAAATTTTAATAGGGGGGAAAAAAAACACAGATGATCCAACAAGGAAAAAATGTTTTTGCCAGAGCTGAATTTTAAATTTTCCAAATAAATAAAACCATTGTAGTAAAACAAAATGTGTGAAATCTGGAGTGTCATCATGTTGCTTACCTTGAACTGCTACCATCACTGTTCCAACCTGGTTTATCTTCGTCATCTGATGTTGCACCACTTGCAGCTATTGCTTCACTTCCAGCTTCAGCCTCCTACCAAGAAATGTATTACCACGAGTAAAACAACATGATTGTACTGTAGCCAAAGGAAGCAAGGGAAAATAATACAAAATGAAATGCTTACATCTGAGGAGCTATTTTCATTTTCTATGTCTTCTGCTGCCCCTGCTGGCTCTTCCAGGGCAGCTCTAGTGCGATAGTTGTGTTGACTAGATAGCTGCTTTCTTGAATCCCCAGGTTCAAGTAACAGTTCAGGAGTGTGATTCTGTACACAACAAGAAGGAGTCAATGCAGGTCATAGGAAAATATTCTGCAATACACATTGGTCAGATAAACATATTTTGCAAAGAAAGACAAATTTTATTTCTTGAATGAAAAAAAAAAAAAAAAAAAAAAAAAAAAAATAGATATAGTACAACAGCCATAAGAGCTTTGGCAGTTGTATATAGATGTGGCCCTCGGAGCCCCCCATCTCAAACTTAATGTAGGAGTGTTGGTGTGCTTTCAGAAAGTGCATCACACCCACAAGATATAAATAGTATATGGCAAAGAGCAGTTAACACACAAGAAAGCCGCAGGTAAACCATAGTGCATCAATTGGAAAGCAGCCTTATAGGGGGCTCAAGACAGTAAGGACTGGTTTACATTTGAGGTTTTGGGGAAGTAAAACCCCATAATTAAGACGTGTTTTTACCAAACCCCCCAACCACTGGTGTAGCATCAGGGATCGCAGGGGTGACACCGCTCTATGTTCCATGGGGCCTGTGTGGCCTCCCTGTCACATTCTGTTTTACACATGGACAGGAGGGGCGGAGGGGGCGACTTACAGGAACTGATCCTCTCCATTTTCTTCCTGCAACAACTGAAAGCCAGCTTCTCCTATTCTTCCTCCTGCTGGCATTCAGTGGCTGTAGGAAGAAAAATGTTCATTATGCTATTCAAAATAAAAAAAAAAAAATCTGAAATTCTGAACCATTTTCATTGTGGCCTCCGACTAGTTACCAAAACACTTAAATGGCCCTCACTCTTCAAAAGATTGAGCACCCATGATATACAGGCTCGTCTAAATCCAACAAAGTCAGCGTCTTGTATGTGCTGGTGTAGATCCTCCAAAACACAGCCACGCACTTTAGGCTTCGCTTCTACCATGTGCAGAGACTTATGTTTTTCCACCTCTATCTCTGCATGGACATAAAGAAAACAATTGTTTTCTATGTGCCATGTTCACAACTCAACACTGGTTGTATGTGCATATTTTTTTCTGTGCAGAAAAAAAAAAAAACTATGAAATCAACATTGTGGTGCAAAGAGGGCACTTAGAAAACAGTTGGCATCTCTGTGCCCTTGAACAGACCTACAATAGAGAAACACACATCTCTGCACACGCTGCAAAAAAGCCCAAAATAATCTATGCAAGTCAAATCTGTGGTTTATTTCCCATATGTTTTTTATGCACATATTGTGCAAACAGAGCCTATCTCTGCTTCAACCCAGAGCTCTGATACACTCCAGAATCCCACAGCACAATACTGGCCAGTATGGCAACCAATGTCTGGTATTTGCCAAGACTGAAATACAGAAAAAAAGAAAGACTTGTATATAAATGTATGTTTATGCAATCTAGATAGGCAATATTTGCATAGAAGAATGACTAGCACCAAATAAGACAGCTAAAAATGTGCATATTTAAAGACAATAAACAGCGAAATAAGAGCAGGTTTTGTATCTCAGTTACTTTTAAGCCCCATTCTAGCATTTCTACAATTATTCCTGGCTTAATGTCAAAACCTTTATAAAGTCATTGATGAACTTGAAACACATATGGCAGACAAGGGGCATTAATGGACCTACAAAGAACTTCACACCAGGAGGAAACCAAATTTTTCGCTCCCCACACTACAACATAATATTCGGAGGTTACCCCAACACAAGGAAAAGTATGAAGAAATTTGTCACAGTGTAGCCAATGGCTCACCTTTGAACAAGAGGCTACTTTATTTTCTCTCACACTGTGACTGGGTACAGTTTTCTTTTTCTCTTCTGCTTTATAGAGATGTATTTCTTCTTGACCTTTTGCCGTTCGCCATTCTTCCTGTTTACTAGGAACAGAATGAGAGTAAACTTAGCAATATGTTGTATAAACACAAAAAAATACATTTCCACGAATACCATGGAGAAAAAAAAAAATGAATAAGATGGCATTGAAGAAAAAGCAGAAAATATTAAATATTGTGAATATAATTGAACTGAATTAAAAAGCAAAGTGTAAACCATACTGTGAGGAAACATTACCTGGATACTCCAGGGGGGAGTTCAGGAACTACCACTCTCCGACTCCAAGCCACTAGATCCCTTTCAGTTGCCATCTCACTGCGTGGAGCATTGCTATGCATCTGTCGAACACCTTCAATCTGACCACTGCGTCTTAAGCCAATATTTGGGGGAGAATGAACTTCTGGATTGGAGCTGATTGAAGCTGCAAGGTTTACAGAGACAACCAAAGTGTAAATCAGTGAACTTAAGTTACTATGGTAGCTAGAGATCAGTATATTTGCAATAAACAAAGGCTGAATTTACATGATGCAATTAAATTGTGGGATTTTTTTGGCAATAATAAGTTTAAAAACAAGAGGTCTCTTTGTTCTAAAGCTTTATTTTTTCAATAAATCTATTCAAAATTTTTATTTAAATTGACTCAGCAGGAATACAGCACACCTGCAGCGGTAACCATCCTAGCAGTGATCCTCGATACCTGGCTGCCCTCTAGCTATATTTGTATAGTTGTCCATAAACATTCTGAAAGGCCCTTGCTCTGAGCCTGCAGAAATGCAGGTCAGTCTATCCTCTGGTTTCAGCATCACCTTTCTGCCAAATACATTCAACCTAACTTAAAAAGACTGCAGAACAAGAAAGATCTTTCACAGACTCAAGTAACCAGAAATTCCATAAAGAAAAGCATAATAAAGTGGCTGCAGTGGATTATATAGGCACAGAATAAATTTATGTTAAAGTGGTTGTAAAGGATGAAGGTTTTTTATCTTCATGCATTCTATGCAGCAGCTCCCCCAGCCCCTTCAATACTTACCTGAGCCTCATCACAATCCAGCGATGTGAACAACAGCCATTGGCTAGCACTGCTGTCAATCGCAGTGCAAATGGGCCCGACTGAGAGGAGGATCCGGGAGTGCTTGCGGGGGACCCAAGAAAAGGAGGATCCAGGCTGCTGTGTAAAAAACCACTACACACAGCAGGTAAGTATGACATGTTTTTTTATATTCCAAAAACATAAAAAAAATGAACCTTTAGAATCGCTTTAAAATGTACTGACCAAACTTGTCAGTTTATAGATTTTACTTTTTAGGCTTCATTCACACTGGCAATCCTGCGTTTAGCTTCTCTTAGCTTCATCTGGGAAGTATAAACAACTTTTATGCCTCCCAGATGCCATTTTCCTGAGTTTAGATGTGCCTGCCTTAAAAGCTAGTTTAGCCACGCTTAGAGTGTATAAATGAATCCTGGATGCACTAAATTCTATTTTATGCAGGTACACTGACCTCACGTAAATGTAGCACCTCACAGCATAAATGGCCTTAGAGGAAGCGTAAAGCAAAACTGAACCCACTGACTTAACCGTTTCTCAAACAACTTACTGTACATTCAGAACATGTCTTGAATGTTGTTAGATACTACTACTATAAAAAACACTTTCACAGGGATTTTCATGGAAGTTCAAATATTAATAAAAAACATTTTGTTACACAAAAAAAAAAAAGAAAAATTGTAAAGACACAAAACACAGATTAAAATCAATGGTATACCTATTAAAACCCACTTAACTCCAAAAATGATCTTCAAAAAATACATAAAGTCAGGGGGTGGCGCCGCCACCAGGCAGAAGGGATCAGTGAAGAGGCAGGTGTGCTGCCCGCCAGTGTCGGGAGCCTTGGAGCAGGTGTCTGACCAACTCCTGTATCCTGTCCGCAGTCTCTGACCAACTCCTGTATCCTACCTGCAGTCTCTGACCAACTCCTGTAACCTGTCCACAGTGTCTGACCAACTCCTGAGGTAGACCTCTAATAGGAAAAGGTGGAGCCTAAAGAGAAAAGGGTTAATCTTAACAGGAAGGGGTGGGGCAAATTTAGATGTGAGGGGTACCCAATTTTAGTCTTGCCTAGGGCAGCACAAAATCAAAATACACTACTGGATACAGTGCATTCAGACCACTTTCAAGTTTTTCAATTGTGTTATGTTGCAGCAAGATACTACAGTTTAAATAATTTTTTCTCATTCTACACCCAGTACCCCATATTGACTACGCGAAAACAGAATTTTAGAAATGTCTGAATGTATTAAAAAAGAAAAAAAACTGAAACATATTGTCATAAGTATTCAGACCCTTTTCTCAATACTTTGTTGAAGCACAGAGACTTTCAATAGGGTTCAAGTCATAGCTGTAGCTAGGCCACTCTAGAACATTAACAGTTATCCCTAAGCCACTCCTGTGTAGTCTTGATTGTGTGCTTAGATCGTTGTCATGTTGGAAGGTGAACCTATAGCCCAGTGTGAGGTCCTGAGTGCTGTGGAACAGGTTTTCATTAAGGAAATCTCTGTACTTTGCTCCATTCAGCTTTCCCTCAGCCCTGACCAGTCTCCAGGTCCCTGCTGCTGAAAAACACCCCCACAGCATGACCCTGCCACCAGCATGCTTTACTGCTGGGACAGTATTGGACAGGTGATAAGCAGCAGCTGGTTTCCTCCAGACATACCATTTAGAGGCCACGCAGTTCAATCTTGGTTTCATCAGGCCAGAGGCCAATCTTGTTCCTTACAGTCAGAGTCCTTCAGGTGTTTTGCAAACTCAAAGTGGGCTTTCATGTGTTATACACGAAGGAGAGGCTTCTGTCTAGCCACTCTGCCCAAATCGGTAGAGGGCTGCAGTGATGGTTGTCCTGCTGTAACTTTGTCCCATCTCCACAAAGGATCTCTGGAGCTCAGTCAGAGTGATAATCAGGTTCTTGCTCACCTCTCTTATTAAGTTAAGTGGATTTTAGTAGGCATATAATTGATTTTAACCTGTATTTTGTGTCTTCACAATTTTAATTTTTTGTAATATATGTTAGTTCTACATTAGCTGTAAAAGAATCAGATATATTGTTTTTCAGTTTTCTTTTATAAATTCTAGGACTTCCATGGAAGCCCTATGAAATTTGATCTTTATAAAAGTAGTAGTGTCTAGAAGTTTTCTACTATGGACTCTGGATTTGTTACCAAGAGTCTGTTCACAAGTGTAGTTGCTTTTCTAGCGCTTACAGTTATAAGTGTGCTTAGGTTAGCTTTCAACCTGTCAGGCCAACAAATGACTGGTGTCATAGCTGTTCATATGTGCTGCACCATGGCAAATGCAGATTAAACAGAGGCTAAGATGGCAGCTTCCTTGGCTGTAAAGGATAGGAGGGTTTAGTTCCAGTAGTCAACTTAAACCCCCCAAAAAAAGTGTCAATTCACAGTGTTCTGCAGCAATACATAAACAAAATGTTTAAAAATGGTCAGAAAACCACAAGAAATGTAAATAGTAGTCACATGAAAAAAAAGCAACCGATAAGTGACTAAAAATTGTACTTGCCTCTCAACGTGCGACTGTTGGTGTATCCAGTCCCTGCATTTATCCTCTGGTCTTGTTCCTGCTGAAGCCTCTGAATAAGACTGTCCAAAGGACTGACTTCATTATTTGCTTGCTGGCTGAGTACTTGGTTCAGCCCTGTAATCGCAAGTTCAGAATACATAAATACCTTAAGAAATTATTCTATGCAACCATGGCTTACCACAAAATACCACAAATATAGAATATGGCACAACTACAAAATGCAGCACAACATTTTTTAGTATGTTTACTTAACATATTCTATTAGCATCTGTAGCATTTTGATATTAAAGTGTTACTAAACCCAGGTTCCTGCATTCACTATATCTGGTCTCCCACAGTACGCAGAACATGGAAGTGCAATTATTTTAGTAAATATAAACTGCTATATACCTTTTCTCATCAGCAGTTAGAGCAGTCTTGTGACTTCTGTGTCCAGCCCACCACTAGCTAAAACTTGTAGGAGTTTTCTTTCTGCTACAGGAGGATGGAAATCCCCTGGCCTTTGGACAGTGCTGATTGGCCCTGTGCTAATCACATGCACTCTCCCAAGAAAAAATAATCCCGCTCTAGAAATACAGACCAAACTGAGCATGTGCATGTCTATGGTTCAGTCTGGAGATAAGAGGTGGTCGCTTGAAAAAGGGGAGGAACAGAGAAGAAAGGATCAAACAGCCTTTTCACACAATGCAGAGGATTAACCCCTTAGGTTCCACAGTGAGTATAACAAGCACTGCATATACAGACTGATTTTACTGTTGTGGGTTTAGTAACACTTCAACATAAGAAGCCATAATGCAATCCAAACCTACAGTGTACCTAAGAAAGTACAGAGAAATAATGGAACATAGAAAAAGCCTGGTAAGACTAAGTGTATCAACTATATACCCATCATACACACATACAACAGTTAAAGTGATAATAAAAGGATAACCACTTCCCGCCCCATAGGACGCACCCATACATTCTCGGGTTGAAGTGGTTACACTGAGGCCATGGCTGCTGCTGCAGTTATGACCCCTGTATTTCTTTTTTTGTTTTTTCCAGCCATCAATGAACTTTCATGTAAAAGCAATCCTATCAGCTAAATAGCCACTGGATCGCTTTTACATCTGGCGGAAGGGGTCCCCCGTCACCTTCCTGGGCTCTCCTGTTCCACTGGGAAGTCCTGGATTGAAGCTGGTGGTTCAGCTGGCTTACAATAGAGATGGCCAACGACTGAAAGTTACCCAATCATCTCTACGTTCTAGGACAGTGTTTCTCATCCGCTTTAGAGTCAAGGCACCCTTTAAAATTATGGACAGTTCCAGGGCACCCTCTAACATTATGGTCTTAAGACACCCCATTCTGAAACATAAAAAAACTATTCTAATAATATTATATAATGCAGCAACACCTAGGACACCCAACATTAGAGGCGATTCATTCTTCCAAAGCAAAATATACTTTTGCACACTGGTACGGACTAGTATTCCAATGTTTCACGTCTCCCTCAATTTTTTCACCATCACTGAGCTAATGTGACCCCAGCACGGATAGAGAGGGGTCAGAGAGGGTCAAAAAAGGATGCTGTGCGGGCAACTGACATCCTGCTTAACTGATGTCATTGGTTGTCAGGACACCAGAGGCTAGAAGGTCGTAATGGTGCACAACGAAAGCCTGTGGCTTTGTGTAAAGGGAGGCTTGTTCCACCCTACAAGTTTTGGGCAATTTTTAGACATTTTGCCAAGGCACCTCGGAGGAAACCTCAAGGCACCGTGTTTGAAAAAGGCTGGTCTAGGAAACCAAGAGACAAGGATTTTGTCCCTTCTGGTTTTGCTCAGATGTAAACAAGCTGGTACTAACTTGTGAAAGCATCTGATCAAAATCATCTTGGTTTGATCAGATGCTTTAAGGACAGAGGAGGGACCCCAGATGTCTCCACAAAGAGAACCTGTCACTGCCCAGCCTAATATAAGGAATGTTGATAACAATAAAAGTAATTTTTTTAAAAATAAAGAGATAGAGTAAAAAATAGTTTTAAATAAAATAAAAAAGTAAGCACCAAAGCCCCACTAAGGGCATAACAAGAAAGCACAAAAAAAAAAAAAAAAAAAAAAAAAAAACCCAGTAAGAAACAATTCTATGAAAAATAGAGTACATTGTTATTGAATAGTGGATGTGCATGGTTTTTTTATGGAGAATAAGAATATAGTTTAGTGTCACTTTAAATTATGTTAAGCGTGTGCATGAAACAAAAACGCTGCCATTCATTTAAAATATTCTTATGACAATTTCTTTGTAATAACAAAGTATAGGTGTAACAAATTTTCGCAAACCCATCCCTCCACTCAAGCTGCTACACAGCCTTCTCTGGAGTAGAGTGGCTTAGCACAATTTAGTTAACAGCATTCCCGTCGTGCTATAGCAGACATACTGCCACAGAACAGTATGATTTTGCATTTCCGGGTAGCGGGTGTGCACGAGCCCTACCCACGCTGCCATTCGCAGCCGCGGCTGTCAATCACCAGGTCTCGGTGATTACTTGCCGGCACCCGGTTATTGCTGAGCATCTCCGACGGGGGGAGGGGAGCACTGTTTGTAAACAAAACAGTTCTCCTCCCTGTCAGCTTGTGCACACTGCTTTGCATGGCTGCGGACACATGGCCCCTAGTAAAACAGCACAGTTAACCCTTTGATCACCCCACGTTAACCCCTTCCTGCCCAGTGCCAGTGCTTTTTATTAGCACTGATCACTGTATTGGTGTCACTAGGGATGTCAGTGACATCAAGTCAGTTCCCCCCCAGTGTCAGAAAGCCCGCCGCAGTCCCGCAATAAGTCGCTGATCGCAGCGATTACTAGTTGAAAAATTTTAAAAAAGAAATCCCAGTATATATACCGCCATTTGTAAACGCTGTAACTGTCAAGTAAACCAATTAATTTACATGTATTGGTATTTTTTTTTTTTTTTTTAGCAAAGACATGTAAGCAGAATACGTTTTGGTCTAAATTTATGATGAAATTTGATTTTTTTACATTTTTTTTACTGGACATGTTTCATAGCAAAAAAAAAAAAAAAATTTTTAATCAAAATTGTCTTTTTTTTATAGCACGAAAAATAAAAAAAAAACAGCACAGGCGATCAAATACCACCGAAAGAAAGCTCAATTTATAATAAAAAAAAAAAAGGACATAAAGTTAATTTGGGTGCAGTGTTGCATGACCGTGCAATTCTCAGTTAAAGTTATGCAGTGCCATAACGCAAAAAATGGCCTGGTCAGGAAGGGGGGTAAATCCTCTGGAGGGCAAGTGGTTAAAAATGCATCAGTCCTTTACGCAAAATAATGAATACCCATAGTGGCAGCTTTTTATTTCAATGTATGTACCTGAGGCAGTAACCCCCATTTGAGGAATTAGTTTGTTCATCCCTGCAGTTTTCACGGCCAGGAACTAAACGCTGGAATCGTGGTGGATGAGGATTGCCATCAACATCCACCAAGAATGGTGGTGGCATCAGATGGGGTGCTTGTTGTGTTTGTTCATCCAGAACATAATTGTTGGCATCACGAATAAGAGGTCGATAATCACTGTGAAAGAACATTTGATCTGCTATCTAGAAATCAAAGTTGGAGAAACAGAAGTAAAAAGAAGTGTTCATTTCTAAAGGTCAGCCCCACCCAAACTACTACTGCAAGTAGATTCAGACAGTTTTGCATATTTGAAAGAAATGAAAAAAAAAACATGTTATTTAATTAGGGACTCCAGTGACAAGATATTCATATCAGAATTTCACCCAGTTGCCACAGCCATTACAAATCCAGGTGGTTTCACATGCTTTAAGTGGATGTTAAAATATATAGTGTAGAATACACAAATAATCAGGGAGCTCAGATGTAAAGTAATGATAGCAACATTATAAAAACTTGTGAATGGAAAAAAATGGGAAACCAACGAGAAAAAAAATCTACATCCCCTGCCTATAAGTCTGGAAAGGGATGTACAAAAATCCCAAAATGATTTGAAATCACTAATTTCTCTGTAAGGCTGACTATACATAACACAATTTTCTTATAATTTCATATAATTTCTGTACAAGGTCCTTTAGATTTACCTTCAACTATGTAGTGCAAGAGCCTGATAGGATACAAATTGAAAGTGTTTAGGTTTGACCTCATATGGTTTTTGCTAAATCTAAAAGGAAAATTGTATAACGTAAGGCCAGCTTTAGGAGAATAATTCACAAACAACTGTTAATCTGGCCAGAACTTGCCAATGTGCTGACCATCGTATTCTAAAAGAAGTCTCCAAGAACTACAAAATTTCATCCACCCTGAAAAATCCAACCACATGTGTGTCCTCCATCTCAGACCGAAAATGAACTCAACAATTTCTTTTATTTTTTGTTTAAGGGAAGGTAAATAATGCTTGTGGGACCTCCAAAAGAAGGATAATTTAATCCTTTAATTAAAATCTAAATGTAAGAAAACGGCAAGAGGGGGAGGCCAGGCATTTTTTTTTTTCACAAGGCTTCATCAACCACCCATTACTTTTTAAATAACCGTAACTTAAAATTTGTTATACTATATTAGGTTATTGATTTGCAAACTTACCTTGTCATATTTGCTACTGGAACCAAAGCCAAAAATCAGCAGATGACCATGCGAGTCTGTACAAGCAAAGTGCTGACCGTCTGGAGAGCATTTACAGTCAAATACAGCTCCATGCCCTTGTCCTTCAATCTGTTAATACAGTGACACATTTTAAGATGGCTTAAATATCAGTCATCCATGTAATATATCAGAGCTCAAAGCTGTCCACAGCAATAAAATAAAAAGACAACAGACACATACAGCATAAACAATAAGTCTTTCAAAAGGTTATCAAAAAGAACACAGAGTCAAGTGACTCTGAATACAGACAATAACGGGTCTATGTCACTCAAACAGAATACCACATATACCGATTTATACACAAAGCTGGGTTAAAGACTTTGCATGTTTAAGTAGCTGTATCTTGCTGCAAACAACTTATGATATCGCTATTTGAAAAGCAGAGAACTTTTTATAGTACAGGCTGTTATAATACACAACTTTGGACTTTGTGGCTAACTGCAGATAATGTTAAATGCATTCTTTCTGATAAATCACATGGTTTCACATACCGCAACAGAGATGAAACACTCAGTCACTGTCGAATGAAGCAAAAGACAGTTTTTTGCAATGTGCAGTGTACATAAGCAATATACGGCCATATGCTACAAGTGTTAGTTATCTAAGGCAAGCTTACCATGTTAAAATAAGAACGAATTTTAACTCCTCGAGCTAGATCCCATACTATGACATTGCCATCATGACCTGCAGAAAACAGCACTCTTGGATCAAAGGGATGGGATTCGAGTACAAAAACTTCATCTTCGTGCCCCTTTAAAAAAAAAAAAAAAAAGAAAGGAAAAAAAAGATGAAAAGCCTTGCATCAAGCAATAAATCATTTAGTGATGTAAAACAAAAAATGAAAATGAAGAATATTGTAGTTTATTTTCTTTTAAGAAATCATAAAGTACATTTTACTTGGAGAGACTAATTGTAATATTGTTCAAGCTATGCAGTCAGGTCTGGAGAGAGGTTAGGAGAGACCAAAATCTCACTTACCATCACAATATGGGTGCCAAGACTGGATAAGGACAACATGGATATCAGATAACAGAGAGGGTGAAGTTCGAACAGGTAAATGGAAGGGAAGAAAATAACTATGGAGTGTACATACTACCATCTGCCGTGACAAGAGTGAAAAAAACAAACTGGTGCAAGGTCAGAAATAATTTGTAAAGTCATTTAGAGTGACTTTTGTGCATGGTTAAGAGAAGGGGGACCTGCCATTTATATTGACACTCTAATCCTGATTTGTGTTTTAAAGTATTAAAACTGGTTGACAAGTTTGTTTTGCTTCTTACCATAAGGATATGGATGAGTTGTCCAGTGTACGAGTTCCAAACTTTTAAAGTCATGTTGCTGACTGCAGTGATCACAGAGTTATCATGACGGTCCCAAGCCACCATGGTAACTTTTAGTTTTGTTGTCTTGTCTTCCACACCTTGAGCGCTGTCACAGCAAGTGAAAAGAGAAAAATATTCAGACTTTGTCAAATCATAAGCAAAATACAACCTAACAAAAAACAAATATGCATTTCCCAGTTTACATGTAAAGGTGGAAATGCAGAAGAAACAAAGATGTCTTAAAAGAAACCTTTGCTGAAAAAAATGCATAGACTGCCCCTTTTCTTCTGGAAATGAAAGTTTCTAGGCTAATATTCTGATCCAATGGCTTCGGTTAGTTCAGAGCACCTGAACTGGGAAAATATGCAGGTCAGGAGTTCAGAAATCACCCTGGCTTTGCTTGCTGCACACTTGTCCCTGGTAAATGCATGGCTGTCAGAAAAGCAGCATTTCAGAAGGTGATCTGCAAATGCAGCATACATATTTCTCTCATTAGGTTTCTTTTAAAAATGCAACAAGCATGGCATGACATATGGAGCTAATTAACAGGAAATAGATTAAATTGGTTGCAAAAAAAGGTTAAGAGTAAAGGTCAATTTATAATTTGACCACAATAAGACCAGGACAGCAGAATACTACAATCATGTAAACTGCATAATTTCAATGTAATAAAGTAGGGGCCATAAAAACTAGGAAAGGGAAGTCATGACATACACTATTTACTGTATTCTTTGTATTAAAACATCTTCCCCTGGCTTGCAGCAATGCATAGCAGAAACTCTTTTCCATGCCAGCATGTAAATTCAGCTCCTTTTGTTTTAAAGTGCTGCACTATCTCATCAGTTTGCTTTGTTTCACCTTGATATCAAGTGCAGCAAAATGTAGGCCTTACCCAGTAGGACGAGTAGCCATGTCTAATAAAATGCTCCTCCACTCCTTTTTCTTGTACTGCCAAATGCGAGCAGTCCCATCACGGCTCCCACTTACAAACCTTGAAAATTAATCATTTTAAACATTAAAATGAAGAAGCAACACTAATGAAATTGTGACACAAACTGATTATTTGCAAAAAAAAAAAAAAAGTCTCAGTTATGGTTTGCAGTTGGACCACATGCTTGCAACAGCTAAAGAAACCACAACCCAATAGTGCTACTCACCGACTACTGCCATTTGAAAACTGGATGCTATCCACTTTATCCTGTAAAAAAAAAAAAAAAAAAAAGTACAAAAACAAGATATGAATACATTTTACATTCAACATAAACCTTAAAATCTAAAGCTGGTGATGTTTTGAAGTCAATGAAGAAAGCAGAGAACACTAACTGGACAGAGGTGGAGAGCACATGAAGTTATCCGCTAACAAGATTTCTGGATGGATGTACAGCTTTTTTTTGTCAGATAAAGAACACTCTCAATGGTATATTTAAACAGACCAAAACAGGAACAATTAAGTGAAATCTAAAGCAGAATGTAATGCCTATTTTACAATTTTTTTTTTAATACATGGCTCATCACCCACCCCTTTTATATTTGCCTCAAATTAATTTTTTACTAAACACAGGCCATCTACTGCACAATTTTCACTGTTCAAAAAAGTGCCTGCGAGCATTAAACCACTAGTTACTTGACACAAATGTAAGAGTTTTCTTCTGATTAAACTAAAGCAAAACATATCCACTACTACAAATGTAAAATCTTTACTTTTTGTGAAACTGTTGCGACACTTCTACAACCACAAGTCCAAAAAAGTTGGGGCGTTGTGTAAAAATCTACATAAAAACAGAATGCAATGATTTGAAAATCTCATAACAATGGTAACCAAAAGCTGGCAAAGCACAAACCCAATTCCAGAAAAGTTGGGACCGGGCAATGTTTACCACAGCGCATCCTCCCTCCCCCCTTTTTTTAAACTTTGTAAATGTCTGGGAACTGATGGGACAAGTTGCTGGAGTTTTTGGGAGAGGAATGTTGTCCCATTCTTGCATATGCTGCTCTAAAATCCGAATGTATCTTTCAGCACTGAGAGTGCCTTTCCAGATGTGCAAGCTGCCCATTCAATATGCACTAATGCACCCCCATACCATCTGAGATACAGTCTCCTGAATGGAGTGCTGATAAGCCTGGAAAATACCTCTCCACTAGTCTGGAGGATGCATCGATGTCAATTTTATATTCATCAAAATCACATAAGTTTTCCACTTTGCAAGAGAACATTTAAAAAAAAAAAAAAAAAAGCTTTGACCCAGAGAAGATGGTGGCATTTCTGGATCATGTTTAGATATGGCTTCTTTGCATGAGAAATTTAACTTGCATTTTAGGATGGCACAGCAAACTATGCTCACATACAGTGATCTTTACAAGTATTCCTGAGCCCATGCAGCACAGAATCATGCCTGTTTTTAATGCAGTGCTATCTGAGGTCCCGAAGATCATGGGCATCCAATAAATTAAATTATGTACTGTAGATGATATAATTTAAAGTCTTTGTCAATTTCAGAATAATGTTCTTCAACATAAAATTTCAATTTTTAGATGCAGCTTTTCACAGATGTATAAACCTCTGCTCATCTTTACTTCTGAGACACTCTGGGTATAAAAAGAGCATCTCAGGAAGTCAATTATGTTACCTGTTGCTAATTAACCTAATTATGTTCTTATGCAAAATATTCTTCCTATTAACACTTACTTTGCCAGCTTTTTGTTGCAATGTCCCAACTTTGAGACAGGCTGCTGCAATATTTCAAAATTACCTTTTTTTTTTTAATGGTACATTTTCTCAGTGTAAACATTTGATAGGTTTTCTATTGTGAATAAAATATGGATTTACGAGATTTGCAAATCACTGCATTCTGTTTCTATGTAGATTTTACACAGGATTCCAACTTTTTTGGAATTGGGGTTGTAGAATCATATGGGCAATAAAAAGCTGCTTTTAAATACTTGGATTTTTAACCACTTCCCGTCCAACCAATTCATCTAAATGGCCGGACGAGAGCAGTGCAGGGGCGGGTGGCCGTTTATAAATGTTCAGCTTCCCTGCTTGTCCGCACTCCCTAGGACCCAGCGGACCACTGATCGCTGTACGGGGACCTCTGTGTGAGGTCCGGATCATGTGATCACTGATTGGCCAATCAGTGATCACATGAATAGTAGTAAGCAAGATGTCACTTCTGGCATCATTGCTTACTACTAGTGAAATCTGTGAATGATCACAGAGGTCACATGGTACAAGGCTATTCACAACAGCCTTGTACCATGTGACAAGCTGTGACCAGTCACAGCTCTCACAGTATTTCTCAATGGCTGCAAGAATGCAGCCGCAGAGGAGAAATGATTGCTTTTACAGCCATTATGGGTGTAAAAGCAATCAGTGTAAAAAAAATAATAAAATATTTATCTTCGTCACCCCCCAAAAGTAGTACAGTGTCACTATGGTGACACTGTACTGCTAGGGTGACAGTATGTTTAAAAAAAAAATTTTTAATTATAATTTTTGGTTATAAACTAATTTGGGGTTTTTTTTACTAAAAAGATAACTGAATAAATTTTGGCCAAGACTTATGAAGAAAGATTATTTATTTGCAAAATTTTATAAGAAAGAAAACACTTTCAAAATTTTTGGACTTTTTCATTTCTATAACAAAAAAAATAAAAATCCCATTAGTGAGTAAATACCACCAAAATAAAGTTTTAGCTGTCTCCAAAAAATCCTAATACGGCTACAATCACCTCAAGCTGTCTCCAAAAAATCCTAAAAAATTCATATGGGTAAAGTGGTGCATGACCGTGCAATTGTCATTCAAAGTGTGATAGCACTGAAAGCTGAAAATTTGCTTGGACAGGTAGGTGGTAAAAGTGCCTGGACGTAAGTGGTTAAATATACGGATTAAGAAAACCTTTTCTTGGATTATATCACAGGTGAGTTAATTCATAAGACTATTGCGTTATGCTCCACCTCCAGTTGTCTGAATACTGGCAAATATCAAAGCTTGATTCAGCCCTGAATAACCCTACCCACACTCAACAATGTGTCAGTTCTGGCAGCAAGCAATATTAGAGGGAAACAAGAAGGGAAAAATCTGTGCCCTGTGATGTACACCAGGAAAGTGATTTTAACAGGTGAGTAAAAAAATCCTGTTTTCTAAATCAAACATCACAAGACACAGGAGAATTAACTTTTAGACCACTGGGATGTCCTATAAAAAAACCTATGAGGAGCAGGCAACAGAAAATACTGGCTAACAGGTCCACCAGGAACAAACCTCCTAATTAGAACATAAGGAGTAAACAGAGAAGGCGTTTTACAGAGCCACCTGGGAGGAGTCTACAAAGAAGCCCAGCGTCCCCTGAGGCCTGAACATCCAACCAGTAAAACCTGGCAAATGTGTATGCAGAAGACTGAGGCCTGATGCTTAAATACCAACGCAGATTCAACACTTCTGGTGGAGTGTGCCTTTACATGGAAGGAGGGAAACCTTCCCCTTGAGGTTGTGCTCCTGAATACTGACCTGCCCAAATCCACCTAGCAATTGTGGATCGAGATGCAGACTGGTAATACAGGGCGTCAGACACAGAGGCCATGACTGCACAGCCTCACCACATCCTGGCAGTGCAGGGAAATCTCTTTAGCATGCTTAGGAATGAAAGAAAGACAACAGTGTCCTGATTTCAATGAAATGCCAGGACCACCTTAGACAGAAAAGAGTTACAAGGTCCAAAAACAGCTTTGTCCTTGTGAAGAACAAACTATTCATTATAGAAGGCTACAAATTTCAGATACTCTCCTGATCGCAATGATCGCCACAAGAAAGGCAACTTTGTGGCAAAAGACTCAAATGGAGGCCTCTGAAGGTCAAACACCACCAGGCTGAGGTCCAGGGTGTCAGAGCATACCAGTGGTATAATGTGCATCACTCCTTGCACAAAAGCTCTGACCAAAGAATGGAAAGCTAGTATTCACTGAAAAAGCACCGCCAAGACAGAAACCTGACCCTTATTTGTTCTCTGGGCCAAGAATCCAGTTCTTAATGAAAGATGGATAAAACCTGTACCAATGAGTACTTCCTTGGACAAAAAACTTTCCACTAATGCTGCAAACAAGGTAGGTTTTCCATGAGCAGTGGTAAACCCTATAAGATGAAAGTTTTTTGGGGATGTGGTAAGGGAAAGGGAGTTATGACAAAGATACAGGTTGAACGGATTCCAGTGTGACTAGGGAATCCACCCCGAAGGTGTCTGGACACAAATCTGTCCAGTTTATTGTTGAGCCGAACATCAGCAGGTCTATGTCTGATGTGCCCCACTTGAGACAGAGTAAGTGGAACAAGCTACAGGATCCAGTAGTTTGCAGCTTATCAAGTCTGCTTTCCAATTTTCTACTGGAAAGTGAACTGCGGACAGGGTAGGAACATAAACTTCTGCCCAAGACAGAATGGTCTCCCCTTCTCGAACAGTAGCCCAACTCTGGTTCTGCCTTGATGATATATGTACGCCACTGTTGTGACACTGTCAATTGGACCCAGACTGGTGCTAGAGTAGGGGGGTCCAGAGCAGAAGGGTAAATTGCCCTGAGCTCCAGGACTTCCGCTGATGACCGGTGCAGGGCTGGACAGACACCAATCCAGGGCTAACTTGGTGTTGGTGCCAAGAAGCACTGGGAAATTCAGAGACTATCTTCTTGTCCCAAATTGTCAAGATGTTGAGTTGACACATCCTTGAATGAAACTGAGCGTATGAAACTTTGATGAAAGAGGCTACCATAAAACCCAGCACCATTATGCAAATAGAGGGATACTCCAGCAAATGCAATCCCTGTACCTTGGCCCGAAGAGCTGAAAACTTTTCATGGGGAAGAAACAGGCATGCCAGGGCCATGTCCAGAATGAGGCCCAAATACACCAGGCAGTCTGACAGTTCAAGGTCAACTTTTGGAGACGGAGGACCCAGGCAAAGTTCTATAAGACTTGCACCATCTGTTGGCCCTGAGGCCATTCTGCTATTGCACTCACAGACGCAGGTCATCCAGATATCCTAGAATGGGAGTCCCCCTGGCTTGTAGGAGAGCAAACTCTGGGCCTAGCATCTTCATGAATACTGTGGCCAGACCAAAGGGCATAGCCACAAACTGAAATTGCTATTTCTTCAATACATGCAGGTAGCGCTGATGGGATATTTCGGGTCCAAACAGCTGTAAGGGCCCCCTGGCATTTCCCCTTTTTAAAGCGGGGGGACCCTTCAAGGAGTAGGTTTTTTGACTGTCTGAGCAGTTCGAAAACTTTTTCCAAAAGAAATACTTTTATTTAAACCCTGAGCTCTTAAGGGAACCCTGTATGGGGTTTCAGACTGCTTTATCGTTTTTTTTGTGGTTTAATTTGGGCATTTTACTACAATAAATGAAGAAAATTCGTAGGAACAAAACGTTGCTGTTGTCTTGCCGGCAGATTACGAAAAAGAGGGGGGACAAAAAGGTCAAACAACATCATTTCCGACGACAAAACGACAGCATTTCTGCCCCCAAAAAAACAACATCATTTCCTGTAGAGGTGACAATTACAAAGAATTTATCCGCCGATTTTCGTTCTAATTGGTGATCTAATTGGCTTTACGACCAACCGATTTTTCTTTTTTCGGAAGAAAAATAGAGATTTTTTCCAAATCTATGGCCTGCATTAGAATGGGGTGGGAGCAGGTGTAACCTTAGATAATATAAGCCTGGGCTTCAAAAGAACCGTGAGATCACTGTGATGCCAACTGGGAATACAACTACACAGTTAGGCATCTTTTACAAGGGCAGTTGTTCTGCCGCTTGTAAATGCATGTTTATTTTGAAATTCCTACACTCTTGGCACAGAGATCACTTGCGTTTATACATTGCATTTACATACAGCCGCATTCAGCTGTGGTAGTAAATTCTTGCCTTTTCTATAGCAATTCTCTACTTATTTTTTCTTTGTACTGCGATTAACTGCGTTTATCTACAGATAGCTGCTGTACATCGCTCCTGGACGCTGTCAACTTTATTTTTCTTAAAACGCATAAAACCGTAGGTTTTGAAAACGTTGCTAAACGCAATGTGTGAATGGAGCCATAGAGATGCATTGTCTGCATTTAGCTGCGGTAAATAAGTTCCTCTAACCTCAGCTAAAAGCGAAGATCTAACTGTCCATGTAAAAGGGGCCTTAGGTTGAAGAAGTCCATCTTCTTCAACCAATAGAAACATATATATAAAATAGAAAACCGCCATATACAAAATCCAATACCCACAGCTGATCCAGAAGAAGGCAAAAAACCTCTATGAAGAATAAGCATCCTAACAGTGCACATGTGAATGTTGTGTAAGTCGTGGAATATGTTCTTCATAGTCAGCTGGTTAAAAGCTAATTTTCCCAAAAATTATGACAAACCACCACAATTATGAATTTCATGAGGAGCTCAGAAACATCACTTGGATGTGCACACCCTGCAGCAGCCGGCAGATATTTTGTTACTGACGATTCAAAACAATAGCAGAAACAAATTGGTTATTTTTAACAACAACTATGCAAAACTAATAGCTATTCTGAGTTAGGGTGGCCTATTTTTGCATAAAGTACATCTATGTAATACAGGTCCAGTGAATTATAGATTAAAAATACTTACTGTGTGAAACTCTAATTCAGAAATCTTCTCCGGCTGACCAGAGCCAAAATAGTAAACTCTTATAATGTGGTCAGTGCTCCCTGTAGCTAGAAACATCCCTCCTAAAGAACAAAATTAAGGAAAAAAGATTTAAAAAATGTACCATACAAGTAATTCCTGACCAAAGTTGGCAAAGGCTGAAAGACTGCGATAAAATTAATAAAATAGATACAAATGGCTGAACATTTCTAAACGCCTTCTGTGAACAATGTAAGTACTTGCATTTATTTTATTTATGTTTAGTACTGCAAAATCTTTGATCAGTTAATTAACATGAAAGCAATTCTAAAGTGCAGATAGCAAAGAATAAACACTCCAGTTCAAGACTGCGCTGGGCATATACTGTGAAAAGCTGTATGTTTTGCAATTTAAGAAATAAAACTAGAGAACTGTTGAATAATAACTATGCCAAAAGTTTTTTTTTAACCTTCCCTAAAGGGTCAAACAAACTGACAAAAAATAAAATAAAAAAAAATAAAAACTAATTCCAAATTAAAGTTTGAATGTTAAGACTTAATACTGCTGTCCATCATTGAAATCTTCACTCTTTAGCAGAGCTACACATGCCAGTAGAACACTCAGCATACAACACTTACGGGTTCCGTCCACTTTGTCACAGGCAGGGACAAACTAGTGACATAGTGGATGACAGGTGGAAGCAAGGCATGCATTGGGGCACACCTGGAAGGGTTGATGCTAAAAAAACCTGTGCAGCTCTACAAGAGAACAAAGATTGGAGTGACAAGCATCAAGACTGGCAACTATCACGGACATTCTTTTGTAGGTAGTGCTATGATTAACCAGTCATAAATACCAGGCCTCGAATTAAATGCAATAGTTCATTCTAGCAGTGTTAGGAATTCTATGGATGATCAAATACAGCAGACATGTTTTTGAACAGCGGAAATATAGGACCTTGTAGACATTTCCCTCATGATATGTACAAAATAATGTCTACTATTTTGGCATCTCTCCACTTAACCACTTGTCTTACGGAAGATTTACTCCCCTTAATGACCAGACCATTTTTTGGTGTTCGGCACTGCGCTATTTCAACTGGTAATTGCGCGGCCATGAAATGCTGTACCAAAACAAAACGTATGTCCTTTTTTTGTCACACAAATAGAGCTTTCATTTGGAGGTATTTGATCACCAATGAGTTTTTAAATGTTTGTGATACAAGCGAAAAAAAGACCAAAAATGTAAAAAAAAAAAAATTTTTTTACTTTGTTATAAAAAACATAGTAAACACAAAGTCATAAATTTAGGCCAAAATGTGTTATGCTACACGTCTTTGGTAAAAAAAAAAAAAAAATCCCAATACATATATATTAATGGGTTTGTGTAAAAGTTATAGAGTCTACAAACTATGGTATATATATATTGGAATTTACACAGCTTTTACTTTCTGACTGCCTAACACATTTCTTGAGGTGCTAAAATGCCAGGGCAGTACAAAGAAAAAAAAAAACAAATTACTCTTTTTTGGAAAGTAGACACCTCAAGGAATTTGTGAGAGGCATGTTGAGTCCATGGAACATTTTATTTTTTGCCACAAATTTTTGGAAAACAATTATTTTTTTAATCACAAAAAGTTGTTAAACGATCTATTGCTCAGGCATGCCAAGGGTATATGTGGAATAGCTCCCCAAAACACATTGTTACTTCTCCAGAGTATGGGGATACCACATGAGAGGATTTTTGGCAGCCTAGCCACATACACGCCCCCAAAATCCAATGACCATCTCCAGGCTTTCAAAGGGCATATTTCCTCATATCACTTCCTCATTACCTATCACAGTTTCCGAGGCACTAAAATGCCAGGGTAGTACAAACACCCCTTTGACCCCTTTTTGGAAAGTAGACAGCTCAATAAATTTTATAAGAAGAATGGTGAGTATTTTGTAGATAACATTTTTGTCACAGGGTTTTGAAACAGAACAGAAAAGAAAGAATACATTTTTGTTTTCTTTAGTTTTCCAAAACCTTGTGGCAACAAATGAGATCTGCAAAATGCTTACCATGCCTCTCAGCAATTGAGATCTGCAAAATGCTCACCATGCCTCTTAGCAATTGAGATCTGAAAAATGCTCACCATGCCTCTTAGCAAATGTGATCTGCAAAATGCTCACCAAGCCTCTTAGCAAATACCTTGGATTGTCTACTTTCCAAAAAGGGGTCATTTGGGGGGGTTCTTCCACTATCCTGGCATTTCAGGGCCAACATTAGAAGCTTATGCCAGACATCACCCACTCTAACCACTTGAAGACCAAGCCTTTTCTGCTAAAAAAAAAATTACTTTGAACCCACAACATTATATATTGTTTTAAAGCAGAGGCCCTAGAGAATAAAACGGTGTGTGTTGAAATTTATGTCACAGTATTTGCGCAGTGATTTTTCAAACGCAAAATGTTTGGAAAAAATACACTTTTTAGAATTTTAATGCACAAACACACAATATATTGCCCAATTGTTTGAAAACTATAAAAAAAGATGATGTTACGCCGAGTGAATACCAAACATGACATGCTTTAAAACTGCACATGTCCATGCAAATGATGCAAATTTGTAATATCCACAGGCGATGCTTTAAAAGCCTTCACAGGTCACCACTTTAGATTTATACTGGAGGTCTAGGGCTAATATTACTGCCCTCGATCTGACGTTTGCGGTGATACCTCACATGCATGGTGCAGTCTCTTTTTACATACCACCATGGGACCACCCCTTGCGTTTGCCTTTGCACGCGAGCACAGGGATGGGGGTGAATTATTATTTTTATTTTTTTTTATTATTATTTATTGTGCCCTTTTTAAATTATTTTTACACTGTACCTTTTTTTTTCAGATGACTTATTTTGTTACCACAGGGAATGAAAATATCCCCTGTGCTAGCAATAGGCAGTGACAGGTATCCTTTTCTGAGAAATCTTGGGTCTATAAGACTCCAGATGCTTTTAAGGGCAGAGGAGAGATCTAATCACACCAAGATCGGTGTGATCAGATGCTTTCCCAATTTTAAAATGGCGTTGTTTATATCCGGCGAACCAGAAATTATGAAATGCTTGTAGCTTCCAGTCTCCAGTATCCCCCTTATTAAGGCTCCATGGTGTTTTGCAGATGTGTTCCCCCCATTACCAACCTAAAAACACAGCAATCTGCCCTACGCTCCCTCCAGATATGTTCCCATATCTCAATGACATCTCCTTGGCCAATTCACCTTCATGTAACTTTAGAGGAAAATATTCTTAGGACAGGGGGTGGACTCTTCCAAACACTGCTGTTCTCACAACAATTTCAAGGCTAAACTTTGTCTTCTCTGGAGCTGGAATTCTGGAAGTCACTTACAACTACAGACACATCTCATAACTCTCATCCATTAACTGAACGATTGTGTCAAACCGGGCACCATCATGCACTCTTTTTCTGTGCTATATGCCCTGCTCGACTCTCCCAAATCAGACTCCCTTACCTCCAAGCACTAGGAGACAGACTAACCAATTCAGAACAATGTCAGAAGGTCATAACATTCATCTCCCTACCAGCATCAATCTGCACCAGACTCCAGACCAGACTAAAATCTGTGAAAGCACACAAGGATCTATTCTCCATATGTTGGTCTTTCCTGAAATGAATACCACAAAAGCCTCTGAGATTAAACACTGCACAAATTCTGTACTTAATTACGATTGAAAGACCATCATTCACCCTCCGATCTTCATGTTGATACAAAAGATGGAGGCAATAAGGATGGAATACACTATAAAACCTGGAACTACTAGAATGACTCCCTCTTTTCAAAGTGAAAACTCTGATTTACAAAACAACCTGATGTCAGTCTGCTCCCACTCCCATGTGTCCAAAGGAACCCCTGCTTCCCTAATCCTACCCTTTTGCCTTGCTTATCCCATCTTTTCTTCATATACCAATTCCTCCCTTTCTTTACCTACTAAATTCACCACACTACACCTCTGCAGCCCCTCCCAGAGGCAGACAGATGACTTGAGCCATTCAGAGGAAGCTCTGTATTCATGATGAAATACAATGCTTTTCCATTTACATAAACTAATGGTAACTTGTGCTCTCCCTCTGGGATGCAGCCAAATACACTATCTCCAAAAAATTAAATAAAAGCCAACACTTCCCAAACTGCCAGATTAGTAACAATTTAATAAGCCTCTTCACAATCCAATCTAGCCTCTATAGCAGTGGTCTCCAAACTTTCTAAGCAAAGGGCCAGTTTACTGTCCTTTAGACTTTAGGGGGGCCGGCTATAGCCAGTGGGAGTAGAAAATGACCTGGCATCAGTGTTCCATCATTGGTTTTAAAAGGGAGGAATAGTGACCCATTGTTGATATCAGTGAGATACCATTGATGGTGTCAGTAGGGTGAATTGTACTCCATCATTGGTGGCAGTTGGGTTGGTGGAATAGCGCTCCAAGGGCCAGATAAAGGCAGGCAAAGGGCCACATCCAGCCCCGAGTTTAGAGATCACTGCTCTATAGTGTCTTTACTTCTCAAAAGAGGATTATATCATGATTGCAGCACACCCTATCCACTACAGTAACAGACTACAAATATACTATCACACTGCTTTTTCAATTATGCAAGTAGTAATCCAAAAATAACCATCCTTTTCATATTTTTTATATATATATATATATATATATATATATATATATATATACATATACATATATATACACATACATACATACATACATATACACACACACACAAATACATACACATATATATATATATATATATATATATATATATATATATATATACACACACACACACACACACACACACACACCTATACATACACACACACTCATCCATAGGCAACATATGCAAAAGCACTGTCCGAAATTGAGGATAGTTTGCAGTGCACACCGAAAGGAAGCACACTGCAATGACTCACATACACCAGAGCTCTCAATCCTTTGCAAACAAAATAGTTACTACCTAAAATAAACAAACCTGATAGCAAGAAAGCTAAAAACGCTGAACTCACGTTTTTAACGTGACTTTACACAGCGAACGTTACCAGCACTTATTAAAACGCCCAGTGTGCATGGATCCTTAATATCGCACAGTCCAGATGCAGAGAACAAATTTATAGATTTGACTCTGCACCTAGGATATCAACGGTGAAAAAAAAAAAAAAGTGAAAATATGAAAAATATCAAAACCATAAAAAGTAGGGATGCACCGAAATTTTGAGCACCGAAACATATCGGCCGAAAATAGCCCTATCGGTATTTGCCGGATAAGGTAACCAAGATGATTCTATAGGGGAATGCCCCACAAGCACTATTAAGCACACTAGTGATTGTTGGCCACCAACAAAGGGTGAGTGTGAGTACATGTGGGGTGCAAATAACACTGTCAAGTGTAGCACTATATCAATACAATAACATTGGCACGTTATCACCAGTTGGGATTCTACCTGAACAGTTTATGTTTTAGTTTTATAAGCTTTAAGACACTATTAATAATAACATGTACACGTGATATACGTTGTTAAAGTTTTGAGTGTTCAGATGCAGGGATGACCAAGAATGTATCTCAGAGCACAAGCAGTTTGGGAAGCGCTGGCTTTTGTTTTGTCATTGTTGTATGTTGTTGATATTACAGCTACTTACCAGAACTGAAAGAAGAGCAGATCATTTGAACCCCAGGTCGTGGTCTCTCTGTGTACTTTATGGGTCGGGGACTAAATAAGAAAGTTAAAATATATTTACAAACAAATTCAAGTGGTAGAAAAACACGTTTGGTTATCATGTAAAAAAATTTGGAAAGTGCACAGATGACAAGGACGTACCCCACTTTCTGTGATCTACACCCCCTGGTATTAGTTAAAAAGGTTTCTGACAATAATGGAAATGGCATCCTGCACATGAAAGTTTGCTGCAATAAATCACTAAATAGAACTTCAAAATGCATGCAGTTACAAATTCCATTAACCCCCACAGGAAAGCGCTGTACATTTTACCCTACTATATTCCTTATTCTGTAAACATCTGTGTGCACGAGTTCTTACAGTTTTGTTGGGGTATACTTTTTTCCACCATTTAATTCAAACCAAATAGGTACACAGTCAGAATATTATTTGTGTGCCTAACAAATAACCTGGTTCTAACAATTCCAGCGCCACGGATGCTGCCCTGAACAGATGTGGCAATGCGTATTGATTAACATAGCTCTCCTTGTTACTCATTCACAAAAGCAGGAAAATGTAAGTAAACACACCCAATACATGTCACAGTCCTTGATTAGGGAAAATTAATGATGATACCCTGACTACACAAACACATTGACCAGTACATGACAATTCTCTCCTGTCAGACTTTTGCTGCAAGTGACGCTCCCATGGCCAGCAGCAGAAAGTCAAACTGGTCGATGATGCTGCCTGACATCAAGCAAATATGATCATGCCTATGGTCTTTTCTATGTGAAACAAGCAGGTGAGCAGAGAAGTCATTCATCTGAAAAGAGTCCATTGCTTTTAAGTGCATCAATGGAAATTATACAGGGGCGTGCTATAGCATACAAACGATCTTGGGTAGTATGATCATCTTAATGTATTCGGGAAGTCATTCAGTTAGTGGCCGTACCGATACGGCCACTAAATGTAACACTCTGGCTGCAGCCAAATCTGGCCATTTAGTTCACCTATTCAGTGAAACTGGACCAGTTAAAGTTCACCTTGAACTCTCCCTTGATCTGAATCTGAAGCTCATTCCTAGTCAGGATGAGCAATAGATGCAGATACAGGAAGCTAAATATATTTGCAAATCTTTTTCTACCCAAGACAGAACTTGTCCCTATCCTCTACTGCCACATGAGCCTTGCTTTTGGGGTATGTGATGTAATGGGCATCCTCAGTAACGAATACAGAAAAAAGTCAGAATTTGCATACAGAACATAAAACTACTACTTCTGAATGCAGAAGAAAATGTTCTTACTAGATAAAGTTGTAAGGTAAACCAGAACATAAACAGGAGATCATTGTCCATACAAGTTTACAAACATAAAAAATACTCTGCGACTTATTAAGGACTCGTTCACACTTGACTAATTTCTAACTCTTGCCAAACGCCACTATAGTGCTTGACAGGCGTTAAAGAGGCGTTTGAGAAGCATTTTTAATGCACCTCAAACACACCCCAAACACCCTATGCGAATTTTTGAGGTGCTTGATAGGCGTTTTCCACACGTTAAAACCGCACCTCAAATGCCTATAATGAAGTTTAATGGTATTAACGCTCCACAAACACCTGCCAGGCGTTTGAGGAGCTTCACCGTAGACTTGAATGGGAGGCTTTAACTCCTCCTGACTCACCATGAGGCGTCAATTTTACCGCGACGCTAACGCTTCAGTGTGGGCAGCACTGTTTGCTGCCATGTGTAGAATTTTCATGTGTTTGAGGGGGGTTAAAAACGCTTCCCTAACACCTAACAAAGCTAGTGTGAACGGAGCTTAAGAAATATTAAGACATAAGCTCCAGAAATTCATCAGCCTGTCTTGTCATTTTATTGCTAAAAAGCTTCTAAAATACAAAAAACTTACTTTATTTTTAGAGTGCCTGCATCCCAAAGCCAGAAGCAAATTGTTCCATCAGCTCCAGTAGAGGAGAGGAATCGCTTAGATCCACTGCACAGTGGGGAGAACTAGATAATAAAAAAATAGCATGAATAAATGACATGGGAAGACAGAAACTATTGTATATATACATAAGAGCTCTAAAGTGCCTGACCAACACCATGCCTCTGAGCAATTAGATACTTTACACATGAAATTATAAAACGGCATATAGAGAGTTTACAGAAGAAAGAATATATCAAGAATATGGTAGATGATGTCAACCTCTACTTCCCATCCCTTCAGATCTGTTTAGGAAATACCACTAAGGGCAGCTTCACATTGCCCTCACTGCACTTTTGCTAAAGCGCAGCTAACCCATGGTTTTGTGTGGGTTAACTGCGCTTTCCCATAGACCTGTCCTTTTGGTGCAATTTCAGAAAGCGCACAAAAACTCCTGTATGCTTCATCTTTGTTGCACTTTCTGAAATCTGCTCCAAAACCACAGGGCGTTAATGGGAAAGCACAGCTAACCCACACAAAACCTGCATTGTGAAGCCTTCCTAACATGAAGTGATTTAGCAGGACTTAAGCAAACCATAAATAGCTCATGCAATTGTGCCATCATTTGTTTCGTTTTTCTAAACAAAAAAAAACAGCATGTTGGATTAGGCACTTACAACTGTGGCACGAAAATTGTGTGTTGCAGCTGGTATGGTGTTTATTTTTAACACAATGTGTAACCAAAACCGTAAAGCGGAACAAAACTCACTAATCTTTTAAAGCCATGGAAGCTGCTATCAAGATATATATGTATGCATCAAAGACAGATCAAACTGCCACAACTCTTCTGTCTAGTGGGAAGACTAAATTATTACCTGTAGAGAAGTTATGGAAGCACTGTGACCCTGCAAAATGGCCAGTGGGGCACATGTCCTCAGGCACCAGATTCTGATCATCTTGTCACAGCTTCCAGCAGCAATCATTGTATTTTCATAATTCACAGCCATGTCGGAGATTTCAGCAGCATGTCCTCTTAATGTTGCCAGGAGGCGGCCATCATCTGTTGCCCATATTTTTACCAGACAGTCATCAGAGCCCTGAGTTTTAAAAGCAGGCTGTTAAAGCACATGATCAATATCAACAGATTTAATAAAACAAAACTGTTCAGAAAGCATCTACCAGCATTTAAATCAGGGGTGCTCAACCTTTTGAACAGTGAGGGCCACTTAAGTGATTTGGTAACCGGTCACAGGCCACAGTGAAAAGAAATGGTTCAGAATTTAAAATGTTATTTTGAATAGCATAATGAACATTTTCCTCCTGCAGCCGCTGAATGCTGGTGGGAAGGCGAGGAGGAAAAGTCGGCATTTCAGGGTTGCAGGGAGAAAATGGAGAGGATAGGTTTCTATATATGCTGCCCCTTCTGTCCAGGTGTAAGACAGAATGTGCACAGGCCCCCTGGAGTATGGGGCAGGGTTGCCACTGGTTGGGGGGGTGTGGATATAATAGAAATCTATTGCTCAGTGCAGCTAACCCACCTGCAGATCAGTGTGAAAGCAGCCTTATAGTAGTTAAGCCTTTTATTGGTGCTAATCTGCACATTGCAAAAGCACACTGTGTGTGTTTAATACTGTCCTTTTCCACTTCCAGCTTCTTCTGGCATCACTCTTCAGGCTGCTAGAAAGGTCCCAGGTGAAGTGCACTCGGTATCACACCACCTGGAACAGGAGCCAGTGGAAGCATCGGCTTATGCGGCTCCTGCTTCTTCCACGGGAGTCTGCTATCTCTGCTGCTGGCATCGGCTTGTAGCACTCTGATGCTCTGGGATGGCGGGTTGGCAAGCCCAGACAGCAATCCACAAGTTGTCAACACTGGGTATGCGCTTCCCTGGTTTGGAGGTCGAGGGCCACATCAGAGGGCTCCGAGACCACAAATTGAACACCCCTGATCTAAATGAACCTGTGTGTTACCAAGGTGGGTAATCAACCAAATGATACTCTCTCATATGTTCATTCATACCTCTTTCCAGCACTGTGGTCTGTGGGTGGTCCCTCTGCATCATCTCGTACAATGTAGATACACTAAACCTGTATTGTTTATGGTAGGGGAGAGCACGTGGCCATGAGCAACTTAGAGGTGGCTGTGATGTAGCAGTTGCACCACTGGAGGAATGCTTCTGAATCAACAAAAAGGTAAGTAATACAACCTCCTCTGCAAGGCCCTGAACTTAGCAAGCACTAAGTAGTGTGAGGGGGGGTCCACTGCAGGGGTATTTTGTTGGGCCTAGAGTTGGGCTTTGACTTTTTATACTATTCGCCATTTGAGTGAGAGATCTTGTGGAAATTCTTAACAGCTATTATATTAATTTCAATGATATTAGCTGGAATGTTACAATCAAAACTAAAAACACCAAGTTTTTCTGCACAATACAATAAAGTAAACTGCACAGAAAAGAATGAAATGCTTATTTGAATCTTTAGATCAGACAGCGATGCGTCAAATGCAGTGATCAGTGCTTAGTTCTTGGTGAAGAGGATCCTGATGTTTGCCTCTGCCTCATCAGGTACCGTTAACCTGTCAGCTCTTTCAATGCTGCATACATTCTGACATTTCAACATTACTAGTGACAGTAATTTTATTATTTTTTTTTGTAACCATGGGGTTTTTGTGACTCTAGGGAGTACCTCTGTAAAGTTCAAAACTATTCTTTTATAGAGATTTTTCAATGAAAATGTAATTTCTAATTATAACGACGCTCCAGGCAATTTTTCTACTCATTTCAATTAATGTGAAAATAACACAGAGAAATCTATTCTGCAGGTATGGCTGCCAATCGACGGTGTCTGTCTAAATGTCCATAAAAGAATAACAGATGTTGCCCCCCCCCACTTTGAAGAGTGTGTGTGTGTGTTGGGGCGGTGCTTTTCATACTGAAAAGGATTTGTCTGCAAGCTTGAGTGATTTAAAGATCTTACAATTCTATATCATCAGCATTGTAATAGTAATACAAATCATTATTTTTGACAATTCAATATAAGTTTACTTGGAAGAGGTCTTTTCATATTGTGAGAGCTGCCTGCTGCCTGTCTCTTAACCTCTTGTAGTCCCTGCAAGCTTTGCTGGCTCTCCTCTGCTCATTCACGTGGTTTTCTTTTATATTCCATGTTACCTTGCTGCCTGCAATCAGTGGTATTTCAGTATGTTTCCTGACTGCACCTCCTGGAACTTCTCCTCTCAGCACCCCCTGTAGTTTAAAAGGCAGGCTCTTTGAAATGTGTGACAAAACCATGTATTCTTACAGGGCATAGTGAAAAAGTACAAGGTAAGTTTACAATTCACTGTATTAGTGTCACTGGGGATGTCAGTGGCAGTTAGTTCCTACCCAGTGTCACAATGCTCACCGCAGTCCCACTATAAGTCACTGATTGCCGCCATTATGAATATAAAAAAAAAAATTCCAGTATATATACACCGTCATTTATAGACGCTATAAAACTTTCACGTAAACCAATTTACACGTATTGTGATTTTTTTTTTGTCTGTATTTTTTGATTATAGTGCAAAAAATAAAAACCCGCAGAGGTGGTCAAATACCACTGTAAGAAAGCTCTAAATCAAAAGACAATTGATTTAGCCACCTAGAGAACAAAATGTGAAGCATGACGACCAAGCAGCAACACCACGGTGTGCATTTTACAGCCACTTCATATAAAAGTGATTTATAAACTCTAGTAATTCCATTACCAAAACCCGCAGAGGTGGTCAAAGACCACCGTAAGAAAGCTCTATTTGTGGGGAAAAAATTTAAAAATTTCATTTATGTACAGTGTTGTATGACCGCGCAATAGTCAGTTAAAAGTAACGCAGCGCCATATTGCAAAAAAATGCCTGGTCAGGAAGGGGGGGGGGGGGGGTAAAACCTCTGGAGAGCAACTGGTTAATAAGCATGTCCAAGGCAGCTCCAAAAGAAACCATTAACCTCGACAGGCATGCACAGAAAAGATTTTTTACATGCCTGATCCAACGGCTCAACATTTCCACCAAAGAGTTCTCTGCATGTTCACAGTCAGAAGACTCATACCAGAAACAAGATGTGAGACATCTACTAACCCATCCAACACAGTCATGCAGGGCTGTCAGAAGGAACTCTAAACACTCCACAAATAAAGAATTAGTATGGTGTAAAGCTGGACCCAATGAGTCTTGTCCATTCACCTAATGTTTAGCAGACTAACATTACTGTCATGGCAGGTTGCAATGCAAGGCCGGCCAGGGAAAACAGGGCTTTGGAGACTGTCTCGAGCAGTTTATCTAAACTGGTGCACTCTCTACAGGGATCAGAGCTTTATTAAGACAGTGCATTGGCACATTCTTATTAAAGGCCTCAATAAATATTGAATCACAAAATGTTTGAGGGTGTAAACGCTTTATCAGGAGTTTTTTCAGTCAGTGCATAGAACTTCTGGAAATACAGTGTACATGGGAAAAGTTAAAAATCTTAGGGTCTATCAGGGACCTAGACTGGTAGCAGCAATAGTAAATGCTATAAGTTGTACCTCCATCTTTCAATAGGCATGTACTAAGTCAATAAGAGAAGAAATAGTTCCACTAAGCCTAGGAGTTATGGCAATTGCAGCATAAGGTTGTCGCTGTGGAGTAGTAGGCAAGGATTTTCAGGATTCATCAGATGGCTCACCTCTGCAACCAAAAGTTCAGAGGCTACAGTCTGCAGGCAGATTCTGCAAGGGAAAGTGTAGAGGTCTCTTAGGAACGAGATTGTAAGCTCTTCGGGACTGCTTTTCCTAGGTTTGTGACCCATCATGTTGAACCACTAACCGGGTAAACCTTGAGTAGTCCAAAAATGGTTGATGGGAGCAGGAGGGTCAAATGACCAAAAGTGACCAGGTCACTGTATGGACTAACCGAGGTAGGAACTGCATCTTGTGAATAGGAGCAATGGCAGGAAGATGCTACCTCATGCTGTAAGGCAGAAACAGAAATTGGAATGCGGGTGCGACATGCCACATACTGAAGCAGCACTCAATTCTTCAGCGTCTTATACCCTACAACGCAGATGGACGATTCATAAATGAGTCTTCAAGAGGCTGTGTTGATAGCTCTAGACCTGGAAACACAGCACACAGAGGACAAGGGGCAACGCAAGGATCCCATCTCATAAGCAGCAGTGTCACCCTAAAGTCTCTGAACCCTGCATCCTTCAAAGAAAAGGAAACAAAGTTTTGATTTGCGCAACTAAACTTGCAAAACCAACAATACTATCCTTTAATTTTACAGGTCATGTAGCCTTCCAAATATCAAGGCTGTAATCTGCATGTAAGGGGGGGGGGGGGGGGGGGGGGAGACAAAGTTGATTTAGCCACCTGGAGAACAAACAACAGCAACACCACGGTCGGCATTTTACAGCCCCTTCATATAAAAGTGATTTAAAAATTTACCTTTAAGGTTTGTTCCCATATAACGGCATAGAGTCGTTTGTGTTCTAACAAGGACGAATTGGTGTAGTGGTATGACAACAAAAATTCTGTGACACTGCTAAAGCATCCAGCACAGAAACATTTAAAGACGTTTACAGGGTTGCTTCAATTTAAAAGGTTAAGTCCACTTTCATGGGAAACAAAAACAGCAAATACAACGTTTAAAAAAAAAAATGAAAGGACAGGTTAACCTTTCAGAACGTTACATGTTCCACACGTTTTTAAGGTGCTCCTGTAGCCTCTCCCCGGTCCCCTTGCCTACTTCTGACAGCAGCATGGGGATCTTCTCCCCGGTGTCACAATTTGAAAAGAACGTAACTTTGCCCACACAGCCAACAACTACAGACAGCCTTTGCAGATGATGGCTTGTAGTTCCCAATGAACTACCAGGTTGCTGGTGAGCGCTCTGGGTAGTTCGTTGAGTCTGTCATTGTTTAACTGTCTACATGAGAAGAGAGATGTGACAATCTGCAGGAGCCCTACATTGCATCCACGATCTGCTGATCGCGGGTTCAATGCATTACAGGCTATTTAAAAAAAAAAAAAAAAATTCACATTCACTTTCTTACATGTACACAAAAAGCTGTTTCTTCAGAACAAAAAAAAGGAGTCTGCAACAAAGTTTGTTAAAATTCTTACAATGTACATAGATCACCCAGAAGGGAAAGTTTTTTTCTCAACAAAAGCTCAGTTACTCTAGTCTTAATAAAAAAAAAAATCATCACGATATTGTTGTACAGTAATAATGTAAGACCAGCACATCTAACTTACTGTAAATATCCTTCGGCCAGTCCGATCAAAAGTCACACAATAAACAGAGGAGAGATGTCCTAAAATCCTCTTGTGCATCTTCATATGCTGATAAACTGCTGTTGGGACTAGTGTCTCAAATTTGTACTTTCCATTTAGCTTTCTTGCAAAAAGTGTAGTTCCTTTGAAAAGAAAAAAAAATAATGCATAATTAACATTTGTATTCATTCCCAACAATCAAAGTTGTCTAGGGTTAATGGCAGGTTAACACTGGTAAAAAAAAGGTTATGCAATCGGCAATGGCCACCTGGCCAATATGAAATAATGTAGGGCTGAGAGCAGCCACTGTTGATCGCATGTAGCTGCAGACTATGTCCAGGCTGGGACATTTGTCCCAAACTGCAGCTAATCTTTCTGTGTTCGGCTACATGCGATCAGCAGTGCCATTAGTTTAAATGGGCTGAGTGTACGCTGCTGATCGCATAACCCGGTTATTCCGGCAGCAAGAATCTGCAGATTCTTGAAGAAAACCAGTGGCAGCAACAAACTGTGTGAATGAGGCCTTCAGCTAGCACAACTGTACGACAGATTCCCCCAATTCTTAGATATATGGATACTTTAGATATGCCTAACCCTGCAACCCCCTGACTTGACCTAGGGTAAACATTGCATTTCCTTTCACATTGTTGAGATGAGGACCACTCACTGTCTACACTGACAAGCATTCCTATTTTATTTTTATTTGTACTGTTCTTCCTTTCTCATTTCTATTTCAGCACTTCTACCCTTCTGTTTCTTTTCATTTGATTATCATCCTCTTCACACTGCATGACCCATAATCAATAGACCCAAAATTCTTTAGACAGAACTCCCCAACTCATTAGGATATCTTGTTATATTTAGAGGTATCCCGCTGCACTTTTCAGGGGTGATTCCACACTTTTTTTTTTAATTTAGAAATGTTTATTGAAGACATGGCGTGTACAGCATAAATAACATAGGACATCCAGAAAGGAAATGAGGTGTAATATAATGCATAAGATTGTTTGCATAAACTGGTATTACAGGTTGCAGCAAAACAAGAAATAGGACATATGGCACCAATCAGTTGAAATGTTTGTCCGGCACAAATCATACAGCCATCACCATGTCAATTGAGAATTATATAGATAACACAAGGTCATAAAACAAGACAGAAGAAGAAAAGCGTAACCTGAAAGTTCCAGATATTGCGCTTAGAGCTCCTATCACCCAACAAAGAATACAGAGAATCTGTGGAGATCCCTACCTGGTCTAGCCATGCAAAAGCCTATCTCAAACCAATTGGTGTGGTGCTAGGCCTAGTATATCCAGCCAAGGCTCCCATAAGAAATATCAACATAGAAATGTACCCTACAAAGTGTTAAGTGAGTTTTTCATGTAGAAGCATGCTATTTACTTTTTCTACCCACTGATTTTTAGTTGGTTCTTGGGGAGACATTCAGTATCGAGCTATCAACTTGCGAGCAAGATATAAGCGTAAAAACTGCTACATGGGTTTGTGGTGCAAGTGAGTCCTCATCTAATTCCACACTTTATATGATGACTTTTCCTGTTTAAATTGTGATCTGTACTTGCACAATGCCCTTATTGCTGTACTGTACTAGCCACATTGCTGTTCCCAGATGAAGCTTGTTTATGGACCTACCTCTTTTTGGTGACATCTACATATTGTTAAGATTAATTGGAATAGTTCAATAAACATATTAAAAAAAAACCCACTTCAGCTTCTAAAACTGTAGCTTCATTTAAAATGTCATTTCTGTACACCTATTGCGGCACCCCCACAGCCTGTCTAAAAAACTCCTATTGTCAGAGAGCCCCCTATCTTTGCCTGGGATGAAAAATACAATGAGCGCTTGATCATTCAAAACCAGCACATGCGTAGGTTTTGATTAAGAAGAAGCGCATGTTTGTTTCTGTGCCAAGAGCATGTGCTCATCGTATTTTGCATCCATGATATGAGGCAGGATGGCTGGCAATACATTTTTCAAACAGGCTGTGGAGGTGCCACAAAGCCTACAGGTATGACGTTTAAACTAAGCTACAGTTTTAGAAGATGAACAGCGTTTAACCTATGCACCTTGACTACATACTGATTTTTTTGTTTTTCCAAAAGGCGAACTTAGCCTTTTAAGAATCTGAGGTTTTCATATTTAACAAGGTAAAAACACTAAATCGGAGGTGTCCAACCTTTTGATTTTCCTGGGCCACATTGAAAGACGAGGAATTGTTTTGGGCAACATATACAATACACTAACAATAAGGATAGCTGATGAGCAGAAAAAGACGGGCAGATCACAAGTTAACAATCATCAATATAGATAATGTACTACAATGTCATTGTAAACAAGTGCAACATTTGACACGGTTTTTGATAAATGCATCAATATCTGGTTAGATGGACGTATAAGCAATTCTCAATGAATTTTCAAAGTGCTCATCAGATATTTTGATTCTAATTTTAACCTTCGTGTGCTTCATCCTTGAAAATTGTTGCTCACAAAAATAGATGCTGCCAAAAATTGATGACATAAGGCATGCTTTTGATGAGTGGAATAATTGTCTTTGTGAAATTAAAAACTTATAAGTGTCCAGTACAGAGACAAAGTCAAAATTTTCTTCAGGCACGTGTTTGTGAAGTATAATTGCATTTTTACAAAAAACTTCCCAAAAAGAAAAAAAAATCCATTTTTAAGTTCATGATTTTGTGTTGGGCCCCATTCATAGCCATCTTGAGTTGCGTGTGGCCCGTAGGGCCACAGGTTGGACTTCACTGCATTAAGTAATGTAATTTTTGCACTTACTGTAAAGTCCTTTTCTTGCAGTCCGGACACAGGAGATTGATAAGTCAGGTTATACTTTCTGCTACAGAAGGACTGGACACCAACAAACTAAAAGAAAAATTGTACGCCAGCCCAGGGTATTCGCTCCTACTGCCAGTATGACTCACTTTTGAAACAATGCAGTACCAAGAGCCTGATCAAAAATACAGAGGACTGGGGCCTGTGTCCCTTAATGGACTCCAAGAATAGGACTTTACAGTGAGTATAAAGAATTTTCTTTCCCATCCCTTGAGGGACACGGAAAGTCATTAAAGTGGTTATAAAGGCAAAAAGGTTTTTACCTTAATGCATTCTCGGCTTTAAGATATTAAAAAAAAAAAAAAACCTCTCAAAAGCTGCTCCCCTCAGCACCCCCTTAAACACTTTCCTGAGCCTGATCTAGATTCAGCACTGTACCCAACTGCAGAAGCTTTTCTACCCTCTCTCTTCTCACATGAGACTCAGAAGACGTGTGGGCCATTGGCTCCTGCTGCTGTCTGTCAAAACCTATGAGGAGGGAGCAGGGGCAAGGTCAAGCTGCACTGCGTGCATCTATAGACACACATAGCCCAGCTTGGGATCAAGCCAGCACGAGAGTCCCCATAGCAAGAAGCCAGCAGGGGACCCCAGAAGAGGAGATTCAGAACCACCCCGAGTAATTCCACTGCACAGAAAAGTATAACATGTCTATTATTTTCAGAAAAAAATAAATTTTACAACCACTTTAACTGTTGGGACAGCTAAAGCAGTTCAACCTAGAGTGGTCATCAGTAAACAAAATGCTAACAAGCCCACTAAAAACAACAAAACTGGAGGCTGCCTGCAGCTCAGAGAGCTATCTGCAGGCCCTTACATCTGAAGCTAGCATTAGAGGATACCTGAAACTGGGTAGAATTAAGAGAACTTGTGAACCGAAGTCCAAGTGGCGGCTCTGCAAATCTAACAAACAGTAGTGTGATGTCAAAACAGCTCAACAAGCACTCACAGATCTAGTAGAATTGGTACCTTGACAGAAAAAGCGGTCGATGAGAGAGACTTACAGCCAGAATCACAGAAAAATAGAGGACAGAGGGATGGGAGAATAATGTCCTTGTTGAAATGAGAGGCTGCCAGTTCAGACACTCCCCTCCCAGAGGTGATGGCTATAAGAAACACCACCTATGGTTAAGAGTGGAGAGGTTAACATCCCTGATGGGATCAAAAAGCAGTTTTTTGAAACGTTGAGAACCAAATTCAGATCCAACAAAGTCAAAGGGGACTTAACAGAAGCAGCAACATGGGAAAACACGCTAAACAAAAGCCTCAATCAAGGAGTAGGTAGCCAACGGTCTCTTGAACAAGATCACAACAGCAGGGACATATCCCTTATTGGTGCTGAAAGCTAAATTATGGTTTTTATCTTCAAAAAAAGTGGAAAAAGCATGACAATATTCTGAATTCAAAAGAAAAAATAGGTTGCTGCACGTTTTCCCCCACACTGAGCTAAAATAACTAATTCAGATCAGTGGAGGTTTGAACAAGAATTGCTTTAAACATCTCACATACCCCTGTGAGAAACAGGGACTCTCCAGACAAACCGGCACAATGCAATTTCAGGAGTTGACTGCTCTGCCAGGTACGTGTGCAACACAGGTACAAAACACATTTCACATAAAATCATGAAATAGCAGAAGGACTAGTACCTGGATCTTAGAGCTGGTCATACAACACAATCTACAAATACAAACTCTGTAAAATCCTTTTCAGATTTACCAGAATTATGATAATACAACAACAAACCTAAACAAATACATTCAATTTATATCAAACCAGATAAGCTCTTGAACCACATAGTTAATAGTGGATCTCAAAGAGAATGAACAGATTGTATAGTGTGTGGCCAGCTTAAAACATCCAGGACTAAAAGGGGGTATTAAAAAGAAATGCTCAACATGAACACTGCTGGGGCATTTTGTTATCTATGCACTGCAACTCTTACAAAAGGATAAGAACTGCAGTTTGTAAAGCCCTGGCACAGAGGTCGCCATTAGGTTGCTTATCTCAGAAGCCCCCTTTGTTGGGTTACATATTGAAACGCCTGATGGCTTCAACACAGTAGATTGATGTGCAGTGAACCGAGCATGTGTGTGCATAGCCTAAAATCTAATTGGTCCTCAGGTAAACTCTTAAAAATCCTAAAAGCAGGCACCTCATGGTGACATTATTGCCTTTGTAACGAGAAAAGACCTCTACCTGATTCTGTTTTAACATTAACAGGCAGCATAGGTTCAGCTCTCTGATAAGTTCTACACACCATTTCCCAAATCTACTTTGAGAGCCTCAGTGGGGACAATAATGGGGAACTTGTTTACTTTCTAGCTTTGAACATGGTGCAATGAAGACCTTGCCCTTGTCTGGGAGACTCACCCTCACTTCTCAGCCTAGTGAAAGTTCTTAGCATTACAAAAAGTTAAAGCTGAACTTACAGGCAGATTTAAAATACAAATTACTGCATCAGTGTAATCATGAATGCATTGTTACATGTATCTTCAAATGCAAGCAGTGTAAGTGTTTGAAGTAGACTTGATATCAAACTCTTACAGCCTTTCTACAGCACAGTGTAGAGAGGGGAAGAATTGACACATGGAGCCAATCAGTTCTCATGTGCTTACAAAAAATATGCTGATAGGTCAAAAAGCAGAGAAAGATGAGCATCAGTGCAATGCTTCCCCCTTCACTGTCCAGTCACAGGCTGGGGAGGAACAAGACCTGAAGTGTTACTGAAAGCAGGCCTCCCCATCTGGCAGACAGGGCTCATTTTAAAGGGGTTCTGATGCGGATTCAAAGAGGTAACATAGGAAGCTGTAAAGATGACCTGGGAAACAGACTGATCCACTGGCTTTGGCAATATGGCAGACACAGCAAAACATTTAGTGAATAGCCAAGTAGTAGAAAAAGTGGTCAGACTTCTCACTCTCCCCAAAGACTTCACATACACTCACCTATACTTGGTGAGTTTCCATAACTGACAGGCAGCTCTGGGGGTCTTCCACAGTGTAAAGCTGCAAGGCCTGGACCTTTCCATAAAACATGTTTGCAGCCTATAAAAAAATAAATAAATACATATGTTAGGTTTATCCCCACACATACACATCAGAAACCTATCAAGCGCTATGGTCTTGGAAATCAAAGAAGAGAAGTCATCCATACTTTTGTTTGTGCGCAGCAGAGACTGTCGTCCAGCTCCTAGTAGTGTTAGCACGCCAGGTACACTTTGAGGAATTTCTTTCTCCAGAAGTGGTCCTACCCGCTGGCATACTTGCAATAAATGGTCTGGTGCTAAATGGCGGTAATATTTTACCTAATGAAAATAAAAAAAAAAAACATTTAAATATCAATAAATTACCATTAACCACTTTTGTTTCAAGCCAAGGATGCAAAAAAACAGTCTTATTTGAAAATGAAAATTCCAAACTTGGACAATATTACTTTTGTATAAGAGAACACAGTTTTCCAGACAAATACACTGAGCACTATAAAAGTTGTGAGAGCCAGCACGGTGGTTAACTGGTAAGCACAGTATGCTTATGTTCAAGTGTCATTTTGGCTCTCTGCCTCTCTACTACAAAAATTACATTAAAAAATCTGGTAGGTCAGCTGACAACTGACCAAATTGGCTGCGTGTGTGTGGTAAGGTCTGATAAGAGTCTGTAAAGGCTGAAGAGTAATTAGTTGCAACATAAATAAATAGCATAATTGCATGTCTTATCAAAGCTAAGAAATTATCCAGTTTAAGATGCTAGTGCCAAATGGGCTGCCAAATAAAGAAAAAGTACAAACTTCGTAAACGCTAGAATATGCTGCTATGTATTACAATGCACATTAAGGGTTTCATAATAGGAACAACTTATCCATGACTGGCTATTGTACACTTTTGGAAAGGTAATTCCATGTTTTGTTTCCTTTTCAATATTTTTGCAGATATGCATAAATAACACAAATTACTTATAGCAACACTCAACAGATAACTACCGCTAGCATACTTTACCTCTACAGGTGATAGCTGCTGCATACTTCATAATTCTCTCATGAATGCGTTTAGAAGCTACAGCATTTTAGTGAAAACACACCACTGAATCAAATACATACTTCTGAAAACACACACACACACACCTGTATGTGAATAAAGCCTTATTTTTACAGATCAGCGAAAGATTCCAACATCTGAGTTAGATCAGGCTCATTCAATGATATTCATGAAAAGCAGGTAATCCGTTAAAAAAAAAAAAAGTTTTTAGATTTGAAACTGTCCTGGTGACAGGGTGCCACAATAAAGGAACGGGAGGGAAAAATCTTTCCGAAGGTGACTGAACAAGCAGCAAAAAAAGTGCAGAATTGTTACAAGCACCGTCAGATTTTTATTAACATATCGGTCTGTCCAGGCAAAAGCCACTGTTCTAAAACTTTTGTCCTAGTGTCATTAGGACGGAAGTTCTGTTAGGATTTCCCCAACTCAGTTTTTGTCCTATTTTTATTACTGGCTCTTTCCCACAGAATCCAAAGCTTACATGAAGTGCTTTTTTTTTTTTTTTTTTTGCTGTAGTCACCATTAAAAAAAAAAAAAACTAACATGCCAAAAGGTTTTCCATTTTCCAAAAATCTTCTCTAGGGTGCCACATCTCAATCAAGACTAAAGCTGGGCACACACAGATTCCTGCATAGACACAAGCGAGCTGGATGCAAGAATCCTGGCACCCAGAGACACACTTCTGGAATATATAATGAGCTGCACAAGAAAGACTGCAAGCAAGCAGGTTGCTTTAATGGTTTAATTTGCTGCAGAATAGGCATTGCACGTTTCTTCTGCAACAAACAGCCTGCCTTCTCAGTTAAAAAAAATAAAAAAATATATAGGTCCACTTTAAGATTGAAATCGTGGAAACCATATTTTGTGGAGAATAAAAAAAATAGTTCCTCTCAAGAACAAGAACTCCCATGACAACATTACAGAGAAGTCAGGCTCCCCCTGAAGGAACAAGGATCATTAATTGTTTAACAACAATTCTCTTTAATAGCATTAGTAGATTGTTTGTGTGCACCATTTTCCCTATAGCAGTCTGCTGTGAACAGCTCCTGTCACACACACCTGACTGTATTCAACAATAAACATTAACAATCTTGGGAGAAAGCTTGCAGTAGATACTGACACACATTAGGTGAGGTGAGGTTTGGCAATGCTGCAGACTTCATGTTATATGCAAGCAGGGTGAACCCTACATCCACTACTTGATTTCAAGCTATGAATGTACTCGTTTTGTAGTGCTCACCCCCCCCCCCTTTTTTTTTTTTGTTAGTAACCAGTTGCCTCATACCTGTATGATCACAAAAAGAGGAGTTTTTGATCCTGTAAATCATCTTTTCGACTACTTCTATGCTTCCAGATAAAGAGAAGCGACAGACAATTTAGGATGGATATGGAAGGGGGGGGATTGGAGTATAGTGGTTCTGGAGTAATACTCTCATTTCGGTCAGAACTGGATTTTAAAAATAATATTTTACACATACATTTTTTTATATATATATATATATATATATATATATATATATATATATATATATATATATATATATATATACACACACACACACACAATTTTTATTTTTAATTTAATATGACACGATCATGCAGCTTTCATCCAGCCAGCAGGACCCATAGGCTCTTTTCATTGCTCTTCCCCCCTACCACATACTGAAAATTGCCTAATTACAAAGATTCATACATCAAGGTAAAATTTGCACATAGAAATGAATGTGTCAAAGCAATGAACAGATCAATACAAAGATTTAATAAGAGAGACAACTATACATCAAAGGAGTGACTTCTACAGTGCTGCCTTCTTAAACTAAGGGCTTTAAAAGCACAAAGAAAAATAGCTACACTACCAATAATTTAAATAACTACCACACGGAGTGAAAGAAACTAACTGGACTAACGTATAGCAACCCTTAAAAAATTAAAACCATGTCCCAGACAAAAAAAAAAAAATCCTCCCTCACTGTACATGGTAGGAAAGCCCAAAGCCTAGATAGAAGTACAAAATTTGGAAGTGATGAAGTGATGTAAATGCAAACAAGGAAAGCCAAAAATGTTTACCTACTCCTCAAGAACCAGGTAAAATGAAAAGCTGAATACACGTCCAACAAAGGTTAACATAAATTATCACAAGAAATATAAAATATACATACATTCCAAAGAAAAAAAACCCTTACACAAATAAAAAGTTGATGGAACCAAGGTCTAATATAAAAAAAAAAAAGAGGGGTGAAGTAAGCATACCTATGGGAAAGAAAGGCAGTGGACACTGAAATTGAATAGAGGCAATCTACCACTTTCTCAGGAGCCCATCAACCGTTTTACTTTGACCATCCATATCAAGTACAATGTCAGAGGATTTGTATGGGATGCAGAGGGCTTCTGCTTTTTCCCCTAGAATTTTAAAGTTGACCTCCAAGCTGGTCCAAACGAACTACTTCATCTACCGTCATCCACTGTATAAACTGCTACATACAGTATACAACGCTGTGCTCCGGCGACAGTACGGGGACTTCCTTTCCTAATCCAGGAACAAAATCGAGTCAGTGCTGCTCAGCCATTCACAGGAAATTTTGTCATTTCTGAATGAATATAAGGCATTAACTGAAGTGGAGATTGTGATGTCATCCACCCACTTCTCCACCTCAGCCATTCAGGGGAAGCACTGTATTCATTCATAAAAAGTACAACGCCTCCTGTGAATGGCTGAGCAGCTTTCAGTACAACTCTGTTTTGTTGCGGCAATGGGATGTCCTTGTTCCGCTGCTGGAACGCAACGCTGAATTTTGTAAGTAGCTGATGGTACATACCATTTATTCAGAGCTCCCAGAGGGCACACATATTAGGCCCCCACTACAGTGTTGATCTTTTCTTTGGGCAAAAAGAGCCTCGGAAATTCCCTGGGAAGGTGTAATTAATACGCCACTACTCGGCCAGGACTTTGGTGAAGAATTCTCAGACTGGCTCCAGCCCAAAACATAAGGGTTCGGAACTGCCAATGACTGACCCCCTTCTCCGTGGTGTTCTTGTGAATACAGCAAACCACAAGAAGGCTTGATATGGTTGGCAATGGGACAAATGTTTGAGGTAGCCAGTCCCTGAGGTTCACCATGGCCGAATTTAAAACACTCCTTTGAGTAGTCATGTGTTTGAGTACACTGTAATAGTTCCATACAGAATTTTTTGTACCACAGGAACAAGTTCAAACTTTTTAGGTTTATGTTTTAAATCGGAATTTTCTGATGGCTTCGGGACCACAAAACGTGGGCAATTAAATCCCCGGAAAACCTGGTCCTGTCAGCACCAGGACAATTACCTCCTGGGGGTCAACTAATCCCATGATTTCCCTACCCAAAGAGACCCTCTGCCTTATAAGGCCTGTTTCTGGGGGGGTTAAGTCAACATAAAGAATAAATAAATCAATAATTTGGCTCCACAATTAATTACAATAAATATTGCACAAAAATGTCATAATTAAAAAAAAAGTCCGAAAAAAGTCACACTTTCCCCTTGAAAGTCGCAAATATTATACTATTATACCCAGGAAGGACTCCCTTCCTTAGTTAGTACTGCTTTTTCCAACAGTCAAGATGGCCGGAAGTGATGAAATGCTTCAGAGGATGTTCACGTCTGCTTTCGTAATTCCCGGAAAACGGGAAAGTGGATGGAGCGGGCCATCTTGACTGTTGGAAAAAGCAGTACTAACGTGGGTACGGTTAGAATTTGGGAACTTTTTTTAGGATGTGCTCATGGCTGAGTCATGGGGAAAAATATTGCAGATGTATGTTATCACCCATGTTAAGTACTTGGGTGTAAATGCTTTAATACTTACTATATTATTGATACATGGGCCTCTCTCTTCTAATTTTTTATTTGAGGTTTGTAATGATGTCTTTAAGAGTTTTTCTTATGGATTGGAACCCATCTACAACATCTGGGAGTAGGAGCAGTACTGAGGAGTGATCTACAGCACCTGGATGTGAGAGTCAGGTGTTCTCTGTTAAGTCTTGATATTACTCTTATTGAGGGTAATTGTATGCATTCTAGCCCTATAGAAGTGTTCACCATTTATTGCATTTTTATTAATTTTATTTATTTTAGATTTCTTGATTATATTTTGTTTTTGGTTTATGAGTGTTCATGTTAGTTCACATTTCTATATTACTATATTTATTTATAGTGTACACAGAGTGATCTCACGATTCATGTGTTATCTCACATTTTAGAATTCGGTTTGGTTTTGCACTCTATTTGTTATAGTATATTAACTTAT